ACGTAATTTATAAGGGTGAGTGTAAGTATTATGAGTGCTTATGTTTGTACGTGTTTTAAAAAAAAAAGTAGGATAGAAAAAAAAAAGACATGCACTTTGCATGCGGAGAAAAGGAAAGGCACAAAAACGGATAACAAGCAATGATCTTGTTATTTGGCGACCAAGATTTGATCTGGAGTTCCTATCCGCATCTCTGGGCTGTCGACACTCCAAACAGAGAGCGACTCTTGTGGCCAGAGAACAACGCTCAGTTCATCCGTTGCCTTGCCTCTACCAATTGCCGAACAAAGCAAATCTTCATTCATCTGTGGCCTGAAGACCATAAACAGATAATGGAAATGTGCATACCTTTGTGTGCCTCATCTACAGAACTTGTTATTGCAAACCAAAATAAAATAGACGTGGAAACGTTATGGATTCAATATTAACTAGATGGGTACCCTGCGCATTGGTGCGTGAGAATTACGTGATAATTTTTTTGCGGGGAGAATTGTGTGATAAATTAGGTGTTATTTGCTCTGTGTTCCCAACTCCTCTCCTTCGTATTCCATGCGCACGCTTTTCAAACTACTAAACGGTGTGTTTTTTACAAAATATTTATATACGAAAGTTACTTAAAAAATCATATTGATCTAATTTTGAAAAAAAATAACCAATACTTAATCACGTGCTAATGGACCACTCCGTTTTCCGTGCGGAGGAGATGGGTTCCTAACCCGAACGAACGCATCCTTAGTATATATTAGTTGTAATTTTTTCTTACTATATGATTTTCTTTCATGTGCTTATACTTTGATAAATTATTCAAACGTTATAAATACTTAAGTTGTATGGTGTGTCTTTCAGGGAGAAGAGATACAATTTGCACTCTTGATGAATCATCTAAAGACTAGAAATAATTGAGACGATGTGACTTAAGGGAGAATTAGTATTAACTACAATTAGTGGTAATGACGTTTTTCTTTAAAATGTGGACTTTTTTCATATGGACTTGGGTGGGTATGCTAGCTGTGATGTCCATTATGAAATTGTGTTGAACAGTAGAATTTTATGATATTATGGGAGTACGACTTTGAAAGAGCGTAGAAGCATTACTAAGGGCCTGTTTAGTTCGAGAAAAGAAAAATTTAGAGTGTCACATTGGATGTTTGACCGGATGTCGGAAGGGCTTTTCGGACACGAATGAAAAAAAAATATTTTCATAACTCGTCTGGAAACCGCGAGACGGATCTTTTGAGCCTAATTAATCCGTCATTAGCACATGTGGGTTACTATAGCACTTTATGGCTAATCATGGACTAATTATGCTCAAAAGATTTGTCTCGCGATTTCATCCCTAACTGTGCAATTAGTTTTTTCATTTATCTATATTTAATGTTTTGTGCATGTGTCCAAAGATTCGATGTGATGTTTTTGAGAAAAAATTTTGGGGAACTAAACGGGGCCTAACAAACATCGACGTAACTTTCTGGTGGAACACAGTGCTTTAGTACATATATATTGTACTTTCTTACCCAACAACACTATTACCTATTGTCATTTTCTTTTTCTTGACTTTTACAAAACATTTGATTGCACATGTTACAACACGTTTGATTGCACATGGGAAGAACTGTTCTATCATGCTGGTTGGAAGATTGTTCTATCATGCTAGTATAAACCGTGCTACAGTTTAAACTTAAGATGCATCGAGTTTATGACTTCATTCTTCCCACCGATGCTAGCCCGATCGAAGCCAAACAGTAGGCTCGAAGTTACAAGTACATTACCCTCTCCATCCCAACAAAAATACTAACCTAAGACTCCTACTATTATGAATCTGGATAGATTAGAAGGGGTCCTACTAGATTGGCTTTTTTGGAAGGAGGGAGTACACCTTCAATTCCAAATACAAGGATCTTTTTTTTCCTTCTTTGTTTGAAAAGAACCTGACATCAAATGCACACCAAAAACCAAATCTTGGGATTTTGACTCCACACACGTAGGGTTTGAAAGCTTGAAGTGCCAAAAAGGAGGAGCAGATCGATCGATTGATCTATCTACAGGCCAGTTGTGGCCACCCATTCCTCGTCGATCGATCGGTCGCCGGCCGGCATCCTCCGGTCGCCACCGCCGGCTGTGCGCCACACGTTTCGCCCCCTCCTCTCTCTCTCTCTCTCTCTCTCTCTCTCTCTCTCTCTCTGATCGCCGCGGCGGCAGCCGGCCAGCAGCGAGAGAGAAAACACGACGCCGCTTGGATTGGATCGGATCGGATTGCCGTGTATATCTGCCGTCGCGTCGAGTCGCGTCAGCCCCAGGGTGGCCGGATTGGCGCGACGCCGACGCGGCGCTTGTCGCCACTCGCGGGCGAGCTCGTGGTCGTGGGTTGCCGACGACCGCAAGCTGGAGGAGGAGGAGGAAAAGAAGACTTTGGAATTTTATGCCGGCACGAATGATCTTTCGCTCCTGTTTCCGACCTGGCAGGGTGCTGCGTGTCGCCGTGTCGGATTTCTGCCGTTTGATGCCAGCTGGATTTCGGTGAAAAGTCTGAAGAAAACCTAACTCACCGTCGATTTTCTTTTTTTTTTCCCTATTACGAAGGGCTTGTTTAGTTTGGAAGAAATTTTAACCAATAAAAATAGAAACGCATGCACATATCGATTCGTGGAAACTTTTCAAGAGGTTTGGGTTTGTTTTGATAGTGAAATAAATAAAAGAAGCGGGATTGGGATAGAGAAATGAGTGAAGATTAAATCTGCCATGTTCTAAACTGATTAAGATATAGATTTTTTTTCTCGGTTTCCATTAGCACGCTTTTCAAACTGCTAAACGGTGTATTTCGTACGAAAACTTTCTACATAAAAGTTGCTATAAAAACTCTAATAAATCCATTTTTTTAAGATTTTCACAATTAAAACTCAATTAATCATGTGCTAATGACTTATCTCGTTTTACGTGCGCACTTAATCTTCATCCTTGCAGTAGATTCGAACGGGAGAGGGATAATGGATGGTTAGGATTGGTGGGTGGGAAATTATTTCACTAACCCATTAGCCAAGCAAATCCCATGAGTGGATGGAAAATTTTCTATGTTTTCTCTCCACAACTTGTAGGAACGAGAAATTCCTTTTATTTTGAATATGGATAAGATTTGCATATTTTATATTACGCTTGGGGAGTTACTTTACCAGAGCAAAACAATCGGAACAATGAAAGGGAAAAAAAACAAAATAGCTTAGTGCTAATTCTCACGATCTAGCTTGGCGACTTGTCGACCATAGCACTCATTGCCCCTACAGCTGCATGCTCGTTAAGTGCCATAGCGCATCTTCGTCTACCTCGGTAGCTTCGCGCATGGTTATTGAATACTCGTTGTTCCGTTCCTTTTAAATTGTCCAAACTATGAGGCATTTTTTTTAGAAAATGGATTAAAATCCGGTCTCTACAGCCACAATGGATGTACACAGTCCAAACTATGAGGCTAAAGATCGTGTCGTAACCATGTCGTTGTGCTTTGGTGATCTGCTTCGCTACCACACCACCACCAAAGGAAGGAAGTGGAGTTTGCAGGGAAGCAATGCGCCTGTCGATCGCGCTTAGGATCGCCCACCATAGCTAACGTGACTCTGGACGCTGGATCAAGATATGATCAATGGATTCATCAGCTTGATCGTAGAAGACATAGTTGTCGGGATGTAGCAGCTCTCATCGGATCAAGCGGTTAGCCATCCAGCACCTCCAATATATACGCTCCCTATATTACTACAAACCAAATGGTGTTTATAGAAATTAATCTTTTGGAATCCAAATCTCTTGTTTTTTCCTCTAAACTGAACAAGCTCTAAAAATCGGTAATTATAGAGCTTTCCATTCGTAGAACTACAGAAGAACATGTTGACTTTTTTGTCACATCACCAACACATTTTGTGGTATTGATTGGAGTCACCAACCACCTCAACCTTGAAAAACTCCTAAGGCTATGTTCGGTTAATCCCTGTCAGCGATTGTGGTGTGGAATTATTCCCCCTCAATCCCCTCCAATTCCTTTCAACCCCCTTCAAACCGAACAAGACCTAATTGAGATGAGTTCATAGATTAAAACCAGCTAGCAAAACCAATTTAGAAAAATTGGGATAAACATGTCTCATGGATTAGATGGAAGTTTTTTTAGACAAATCTACAAACAAGATTTACACTCGGGGCGAAGAGTGAAGGCTTACAACGCAAACCGATGAAGATGAATGAACCAAGATAAAAACTAGACAAGAAAGTAGATGTAATATCGAAAGAACGATTTAATTGAGTAATTGTGTTGGTTATAGATTGTTTCCCCAATTAACCTGTCCTAAGACGGTAAATCTAATTGGAGAGGCCCGAAGGGGTCTCCACAAGATCCTCTCCACAAATTTCTTCGGTGCTCTAAATGGTAGTATATTTGATTTGGGTAACGAAGACTACCCCCATGTATAACCGGAGAAACTTTTTTTTTGGACCAAAACCGGAGAAACTTTAGCGAGAAACTTTAGTTAGAAGGTTTGGCGAGTTTTGAACGTCTGATCAAACGGCAATCTGTCTATTAGACGGCTCGCATGTGGAGAAGGCTACTTTCAGTTTCAGAACGGTGCAAGTGTGCAAGATGCAGACGGAAACGGGATGGGCAACGGCAATTGAGGATGCATTACTTCCAATTCCATTTCCAGCTCTGGCAATGCTCCAGTCCAGCCAGCCAACAAAAGAAAAGAGGCGATGTGTACCGTACGCGTATAAACGTCTCCACGTAATACGTACAAAATACGGTATGGTTTCTCGGCAAGCAACGCGTACTTGATACGTACAGTACAATGCATCGGATGCCTGTCACTTGCTTGTTACACAGGAGACTGACGAGGAGTCGACGACGCAAGCTATGTACAGTACGTTTGAATGTTCATTACGTGTTCCGATACGGTTGCCTACCCTGCCAACCAGTTGACATATATGTCTTGCTTCATGACGCAGCTTAGAGACACAAATGGGCAATATAGACAGACACCAGTGCCAAGTCCTGAGTCCAATTAATAAATTTCTAATATAGTTTAGAGTCTAATTAATTGACATTTGATCTTCATCTATCTGAGGTCCTTCTTTTTTTAGTGTCAAAACAGAAAATCAGCATCTGGGTGTGACACTTGTATGGCATTCCACTCTGGGAAGAAAGAATCATTGCTGCAGTAGCATACAGCAGCACTGCAGCAGTGTGGTGTGTAAACCAACAAAATGAATGAACGGATGGATGGGATCTAACCACGTCCGCGAATCACATCAATCTGACGACCAGGAAGGCTCCGATCACGAGCAGCTTCGCCGGCACCAGCAGGACGACGAGCAGCCGGGCGTGCGCCCGCGCCTGCCTCGCCGTCTCCCTCCCGCCCTCCACGGCGGCGTCCAGGAGCACGCCGGCGCCGGCCAGCGCGCCGTGCGCGCCGAGCGGCCACCACAGGAGGAGCCGCCGCCACCGCCCCCGCCGCGTCTCCCGGTGCCGCCGCACCTCCTTGCGCACCACGGCCCGGACGGAGCGGAGGTAGGAGTTCACGTCGTGGTCGCGGTACACGGCGCCCTTGGGGCCGTAGGCGCTCTTGTCCTTGAGGATCTCGAGCGGGTGCGGCGAGTTGAAGAAGGTGGACATGGCGGACCGGAGCCGCCGCAGGGAGGTGCCCGACGACGACGACGAGTCGCTCAGGTGGTAGATGCCGCTGTCCGGCGGGAGGAGGTCGTGGTGCGGGGATAGCCTCTTGTCAGGTTGCAGGATGAACATCTCGCCCATTGGGGCGTACAAGAGCTTCTGCAGTGAAATCCACAGAGAGGGTTACAACCATTGTTGGTCAATTTTGGTAACATGCAAACAAAGTGAACATTTTACAAACAAGAAAACTAAGTGGTGATGGGTGATGACTATAAGAGCTGCATATTGCAGTACTCAGTAAAGATCCAAGTGTTCTTTGCCAATATTTTTTTTAACTACTTTTACTTTTGTTTTAAAAAGAAGTGTTGTTTTTCAGTCCCTGAAAATGTGACAGCCAGGACATCATGCTAGATCTTCAACCTGCAGGGCACAGTTCGCTGTATAATTCAACCAACTGATGGGTTTATTATTTGTTCTCCATGTCAAAGCATCAGATAAATTTTCTTTGTAGTCTTAAGTCATTAAATTCAGGAACATATACTGTTATTACCACATAAATGAGCTAATTTATCAACTGAAGTGGATTCATGAATCTACCTGATTTGTGAGGCATGGGTGACTGCGGAAATTCCCATTGGCTAGTTTCAGAATATTAGCAACATGGTCAGGGTAGTTGCACGAAAAGACTCGAGGAACAATATCTCGATGCATCGTGACTGACTGAACATGATTCCTTGGCAATCCAAGTTTACGAAGCAAGTGGTCACCGCCACACATGATGCATGGTGCACCAAATGTTATTACAGGCAACAACGACGAAGCAGGTGCTGCTCCTCTCATCAGTAGCATTAGATTCACAAGCAAAGCCAGACTACCACCAAGAGAATGACCAGTGAAGCGTAACGTTGCAGATTTACCAGAACTTCTCAAGTGAGATTTGACATATGGCAACATTTGGTGATACATTCCCTTGGCTGCTTCATATATTCCCCTATGAACGAGCACATCGAGTCCCTGCAAAACATCACAAATGTCTTAGCTTACATAAATTTGTCAAGCCCTTCCTACGTCTAATATGTCAAATTAAATGTTTGTGTGTCAATTTAATACACTTGATCAATCCATGATGCACATCTAAATAATGAAGCTGCTGGTGCACAATGAATGAATATTGGCAAGATTGATTCTATCCATCATTCATGAGAAACTGAGAAATGTAGGATGGCAGACTAGTAGGATACCTCAAATTTAACTGGTTCAAATAGGAGGTTGGCCTGCCAAGAAGCGATTGACTCCGAGCCCTGCCAATTAACAATAAAAAATTGATGAAGATGAACCAGGGAAAGTGAAAATTACACGAATCATGATATATTGGGCAGAAGACATACCTGAACCACAAAGTATCTTGTGCTGCCTTGATCATCATCACAAATGAACCATTCGCAAGGACAAGATCTTGAAGAGTTCAGATCATCTGCAACAGCTTGTCTTGTTTCTTCCTTGGCAGCAACCATGGAGGTAACTGAATTTGTAGTGGCCACAAATGAAGCTTCATCCATGGTTAAACCTTCACCACTCTCACCGTTTACAATGGCCATGATGGTTGGATCGTTCTTGCCATCATTCCTGGAACCAAAGGGAACGACGCCCATAGCCCGTGAATGTAAATAAGAGGCAGCAGACGACATGACATGGTATGCGCCGAAGGGGTTTACCCCCAACCCACTTTCTTTCTTCTTATTGCTCCCTGGCTCAGGGTTCTCTACAACTTCAGATTCTTGATCTGAAGATTCACCTTCCTCAGTCTTCAGCTCCTGCTTCTGATCAACACCAGTTTTGGCTTTCTCTTGTACTGATGAAGTCACAAACCGCAAATTGTACCTCCGCAGCAATTTTGGCTGAGAAAGCAAACAGTTGCTAAGTCAGGCAATGAAATACTAATATCACACAGAATGTCAGAAAGGAAACTTGCAAATTGCAATCATAATCTAGTTATGAGGTACTAGAAAGGTAATTGTGTAATTAACAACATCACGATTACCACACCAAATAAGTATCCATATGCCAGAAGCAGCAGCTCAAGTGAAGCAACCAATTGAAAGACAACAATAGACAAATACAACTCAGGCACAGATAGCTCCAAGAGTATAATTGCATTAAGCAGACCTGGCACTAATCCATCAAATCCTTCAGGAAGACCCCACTATAAGGTCCAAAAGCACATAGGGGACCAGGACGAATAATCGATAATGGCATAATGCATAATTTTGCAGAACAGTAAAGGAAATTCTTCACTATCTCTGTAAAGGAAATGCATAGACAATACGTAGTAGAAGCCAAAACAGACTAAATAAGAATTCTTAGTAACACCACAACCTGCATTTCTCTTGAATTTACAGCATGGACAAGGACTCAACCATGAACAGTTCATCACCAGCAATCGAATTGGCGTGTAGACAATCCACCAATTATTGGCTGTGATTACCGCATCGGTGAATTGTAGAATAGCAGTCACTCGCATTGATGCTTTCGATCTTACCGTGATCTTGGGGATCATGTAGGCGATGTTGCAGAGGTAGGACATCTTGGAGAACTCCTTGGCCTCCCCGAGCGACACTTTCCTGAGGAGCCTCGAGAAGGTCGCGCGGTCGAACACCTTGCCGTCGCTCTCGTCGTCCTCCTCGACGCCGCAGCATCCTTCGTCGTCACCTCCACCGCACGAGGCGCAGCACTCGTCGCCGTCGCGGCCCGCCGTGAGCGCTTCCTGGCCGCCTTCTCGAGCGGCTCCGGTGACTCCCGCGGCTTCGGCGTCCGCCGCCTCCGCCCACTGTGGCTGCACCCGCAGCATCTGCAGCACCCAGTTCCCCTGCTTCCGCTCGTCCGCCTCTGCCTCCGCCGCGCGCTGGCTCCTCGCCTCCTCGCCGCGAACCGCACCACCGACCGCACCGACCCTCTCCCCTCCTCCTCCTCCTCCTCCTCCTCCTCCGCCGCCGCCGCCGCCACCGAGCGGCCATAGCCGGAGCAGCGGCGCGTGCAGAACGCCCCGCGACGGCTGCTGCTGGTGGTGCCGCTGCGCCACCGGAGGCGGTGGCGGCTGCGGAGCCGCGGAGGCGGCGGGGCTGATGCCGCGGACGAACCTCAGGGCCTCCATGGCCGCCTCCTCCTCCTCCTCCTCTCGCGACCGCGAGGTTGCCGTTAACAATAGCGGGGTTAAGTTTAGCCAAATCGGCGATGATCCCCGTGTGCTCCACCACTCGAGATCAACCAACCAACCAACCAAGTTCACTCTCGACTCCGGCGATCGACGGCGGCGGGTGGTGGTGCGAGGAGAGGAGCAGCAATGGAGGAGAGAAAGAGGATGGGAGGGAGGAGGAGGCCTCCTATATATGCGGAGACGGCAACGCCATGGGAGGGAGGTAGGAGAGAGGAAAGAGAGGGGTGGGATTGTTTGTGGGGGAGGAGAGAGAAACCGTGAAGAAAAATCCGTCCGTCCCCGGGTTGCTTGCTCCGCTCTAATATCTTTGGTAGGCTCGTTTTGGCATCTTGTTGGGTTCCTTTCACCCTCTGATTTGACGCATTCACAGTAGTTTTACTGTCTGAATTTGGAATTATTGTAATTTTAGGAGTACTCTGTATTCTCACGCCTATTTCAAAAGTCAATATATATACTATGTTAAGGTGAGTGAAATTTTATTACGTATAACAATCATTATTAACACTACACGTAAGCATAAGGTGTGGTGATACTGTACTATTTTTAAACAAATACTTTCATACTTTTATATGTTTTTCTTGCCGTGTTATAATTAGTATTTTATTTTTTAAGAAAAACTATGTGGAGTGTAGAACGAACATTTTGGTCAGAGGAAGGTATGCCATGTTAGTACGTTTACCACGTGCCAGGACAACGTTGTATGCGTACGAGCGTATCGGATACGAGCGACACGGCGGAGGCTCCATCCGTTTTTTGCCACCTAGGCCGAGCCGCAGAAGATCAGGAGGAGGAGTCACTTCCGTGGACGCGTCGTCCAGCGACACATGCCCCGGGACACGTCAGCGGATGAGAACTTCTCCGAGGTATACGTGGAGGCCTTGCGTGCCCCATGCAGGCGTGGGCCTCGGTTTTATCCACCCACAGCCACCACAAATCCACATTGCGAGATCCGGCCCATCACTGGAGTATGGGCCGAGTTAACTTTTGCTGCTGCGTACCATGTGCAAGTGCGAATGGGCTTGAGATCCATCTACCGTTGGATGGTCGGACACACACATTTGAGGACCTTGAATAGCCCATCTCCCACCATCAGCTTAAATTTTTAGATTAAGCTGATCGATACATGTAACTTAACATGGTATCAAAGCTATAGGCCTTGAGTTCGTATGCTGCCTGGCGAGCCTCGTGTAAGGGGAGTGTTGGAATATAAAATGAATTGCTCATCTTTTCCCATCAATTTAGGTTTTTGGATTGAACTTTTCGATACATGGTTGAATAACTAATTTTGTGATAACTATTCGAGGCTACAAACGAAAGAATTAACCATTCTAAGCTATTCGAGAGTACAAACAAACGAATTAATTATTACAAAGTTAAAAATACATTAAGATATTTTTCTAAGAAATTCGTAATAAATAGTTTTCTAAAAAAATATTACCATTTAGGACACAGGGAAGCGTAATAGCTGAATAAAATGGTTCCATCTGAAGAACACGACCTGTGTGCTCAACTGTCAATAGAGACACAATAACTTCTTGCAATTATCCTCTGTGCTGTTTGACATTTTCTTGGTTAGTGAAGAACAGATGGGTAACCGTGTACTTAGATTGGTGATTACTTGCACGAATCAGTAAAAAAGAAACATTTTCTCGGGGAATAAATACCGTAGTTTTCATCACGTCAGGTACGTGGTAGGTTTCTCAACCCACCAGATTTTTCAAAACTTGCCCATAAATTCAGTAGCAAGTAATCAACATGTCATTTCTGAAAATGATAACATAAATAAAAATGATTAATTTTGTGTAGCAAACAGGGGTGAACGACGTACGGAAACACGGAGCATTAGATCATCGCCATGAAAATTGAGATCAGGAGATCGGTAGATTATGGTCAAGATTAGTTGGCCAGCTTTTGGGAAAAAATAGATTTATGCTCAAATCAGAGCAGAATTAAGGAGATTGATGCTTAGTGGCTACTGTGTTCTGTACTACCACCCAGTCACACACGTTACACATGAAAAACAGAGAAGCGTGCAGCATGTTTTCTGAATGCGAAATCGATCCCCGCTATTATATATTCAGAGTTTCAGACAATCAGGCTGGTGCTATCTATCTACGCTTGCATTTCTTCCTCCTGTCCTATGGCACATAAGAACGAGCATGAGAAGTTGTGAAAAGTAATTGACAAGAACGATAATGGCTTGGGTCTCCATGACCTGGTGTTGGCACAGGAGCTTCTTGCTCATGATGGCGTGCGTCTGCAGCTGGTCGATCACTTGCTGCAAATCAGGTTTACACTATGCTGTTGCTGCTCTTTTGGTGTCATATCTGAAACTGAAATCGATTTTTGTTTGCGTTTTTCTGAATTCTGATGCATGCAGACGAAGCAGCAGCAGGAGCCTTCCATGGTCAGAAGAGGAGCACTGAAGACATCGTCGCCAGAGCTATCATCTGCTTCAGCGATCGATATGTAAGCACATCCTCTTAGCAAACATTGACTGCTCGTAATCAAGCTTGAACAGTAATTAACACAGTTTCAGACCAAAAGAAAAGGAGAGAAAGAATTCGAGAAGAAAATTAATGCACGCTGTTTCTGATTATGTGCTGCGAGAAATGTGTTTTCTTGCAGATCTTCAGCGGGTGCCAGGGGCAGTACAGGCTGGGGCCGGAGGGCGCGCTGCGCGTGCCGGCGGCGGCGGCGGAGGCGTTCTGCGGCGGGCCGTGCCTGGCGGAGACGAGGCTGGTGCTCGGCTGCGTCGACGGCATCATGGACAGCTTCCGCTTCTACAACGGCGCCTCCGTCCGCGACGTCCGCCTCGCGCTCGACCGCGGCTGCGGCCTCCGGGGCGACTTCGACGTGCTGCGGCGCCTCGGGGGCGACGGCTACGACTACGGCGGCGGGCCACGCGGCCTCGTGACCACGCCGGCGCCTCTGCTGCTGGGCGCCGTCGTCGCGGTGCTTCTGTGGGGATGATCAATGGTGATTAAGGAAATTAGAACTAGTTTCTGGTGATTATACATGTATGTAGACAGTACAGTATAGTATGTACTCTACCAGAGTTAATTAACTGCAGCACTACGGTACCAGGGCGTGTACGTACTTCGAGTTAGTCAACCGTATGTGAGCCTTTTTTGTCCATTTTGTAGAATGTCCAAGGACCACTGTGAATTTGTTTAAGTGAAAAATAAACAAATATTTGCTCTTTGATTCAAAGGATTTAAGTTTTTCAAATCTTGTGAAATTTTAATTGAATGACTTATTACATGTAGATTTTAGAGAAAACTTAGCAAAAGATCCAACCTCTTAGAAAAATTCCTTTAAGTTTATATCTCTCATTCGATTCATATGTTTTTCCTGCGATCCAATAGAACGATGTGTGTTTCTCCGTGTTTTCAATTCACTATTTTACACTTTTCATTTCTATCATAATTTTATGTATTTTTATTTCTCTGTTTTTCCATTCCTACGATTGAAAGAGTAGTGTCCAATGTCCTTTTAACAAAAGAAGTTATTTATTTTGTTTATTTTATTATCTAAGAGTTAAAGTATTTAAATTAGTACTTCAACGTTGAGTTGAGCCATTGGTACATAATTAATTAAATATAAATTAGTTTAAATTTAAAATTTTGATTAATACTATCTTCATCCAAAATATAACAATTTTTAGTTATAAATCTGGACACATACTTTCATAGCTAAAAATGTTTATATTTGGAACGTAGTGAGTATAATTATCAGGCGACAACTATGAGCGATATGCTTGTCACTCCATACCAGCTAACACGCGCGGCTATCTATCTTGCTCGCCGCCACCTGCGAAGCTGCGGTGCATGGTTGGTCGATTTCTGATTGATGTCAGGAGTGGCGTACTAGTGCTGCTCGTTGTCGTCGTTGCTTGAACGCATCTTCGTCGTTCTCCCCAGCGGCGGCGACGGCGGCACCGCCTCGTCCAAGGGCGGATGCAGAAAATAGCATGAGCGGGTGCTAAGGATCTACCACTTAGATAGACTAAGGATCTACCGCTTAGGTAGACTGAGGAAACAAAAAAGTGTCAAAGGGGCATTTGGCCCCACTCGCTCCAGTTATGTATGCACGGAGTGAGAATAAACCTTAGACTATTAGCCACGCGCAAAACAAAAAACATGATTAGTATGATTAATTGAGAAATTAATTTGATTTAATCTTGCAATTTTAAAAATCTAAAAATAAATTTATTTGATTTTTCAATCAATTATTATATATAAAGTTTAGTACTTTAAAAAGCATAAATGAAAACCCGATCCCTACGTTTGAACAATCCCTAAGTTTTTCGTGGTTACGTGGAATTACTATGAAAATGAGTCTAAAGATAACATTCCTGTAGTTATTCGAAAATTCATTAAGCGCATAAGAAACTGACAGTTTCGATATGTTACGTTATCCACGCACATTTTTTTTAATTAACTATATAATAATTCTCTCTATTATTCCTTTTTTTCATGAATTTTAGATCTATCTATACCATGCTTGATTACCAAAAATATATAAAGCTTTTGTTGTTTGATTTATATTATAAAATATATCTGTAGCGTTAGCACATGCATATTACTAGTAATACAAAATGAAATTGTTGAAAAGCTTTCATCACTTTCTTAGGTACATTACAGTACCATATATTATCCCAGGCTTTACACATTCGATCAGGCGACAACTACTAGCGATATGCTTGTCACTCCACACCAGCTAACAAACGCAGCTATCCGTCTTTCTCGCCGCCGCCGTCGGTGGCGGCGAAGCTGCGGTGCGTAGTTAGCCAACTTCTGATTGATGTCAGGAGTGGCGTACCAGTGTTGCCCGTCATCGTCGTCGCTCGAACGCATCTTCGTCGTTCTCCCCCGCGGCGGTGACGGCGGTGGCCACCGCCGTCGGTGGCGGCGAAGATGCGGTGCATAGTTGGTCGACTTCTGATTGATGTCAGGAGTGGCGTACCAGTGCTGTTCGTCGTCGTCGTCGCTTGAACGCATCTTTGTCGTTCTCCCCCACGGTGGTGACAGCGGCCGCCGCTGTCGGTGGCGGCGAAGCTGCGGTTCGTAGTTGGTCGACTTCTGATTGATGTCAGGAGTGGCGTGCGTACCAGTGCTGTTCGTCGTCGTCATCGCTCGAACGCATCTTCGTCGTTCTCCCCCACGGTGGTGACGGCGGCCGCCGCTGTCGGTGGCGGCGAAGCTGCGGTTCGTAGTTGGTCGACTTCTGATTGATGTCAGTAATGGTGTACCAGTGCTGCACATTGTCGTCGCTCGAACACATCTCCATCGTTCTCCCCTGCGCCGGTGACGGCGCCGCCGCCTCGTCTAGGTAACATTTAAATATAATTTTTTTTTGAAAAAACGCGTGCATTCGGAAAAAAGGGAAACAAATTGAAAATATACCGTTTATTTTTTTTCTCTCAAAATATTCGGATGTAATTTTAGTCGCACAAACATACCGTTGATACTGTCGTCTCGCACGGTGAGAGCGGGACCTAATTAGCGAGACCGACAGCCTCGCCGTTAATCACTGATTAATTAGTGATTAATTATCTTGATTAGCAATTAATTAATTATTAATTGGATAATTAATCACTAATTATTATTAATTAATCGCTGATCAGTCTATTTCCAAAACGCTGTCGCACCCTCACGATGCGAGACCGCTCCCACATCAGTTTGCCAAAAAAAAAATACATCAATAATATTACTGAGGAAAAAAATATATGAACGGTATATTTTCAAATTTAATTCAAAACGAGAGTCCGCTGCTCTCAAACGCAGGAGGTTGGTTAGTGGCAGGAAAGAGTATTGGTGTTTTGGCGCGAAAAGAGTCGAGAGGGCGCGGAGCCTTGGCGCCACTAATTCAGGGAGTGGGTGGCAGTTTCGTAATAAAACTTGTTTATTTTCCGCGAGCTCCCAGAATTCCGTAGACCCTCTCCTGCTGCGTGCGTCCCCAAATCAGGAGTCCTCCCAACCCTCGCCACCGGCGCCGTCCGCCCCATCTCCGACGCCGCCTCCCCCCGAAGCGAAGCAGGTACACGCCACCTCCAACTCTTCCCTCTTCCTCCTGTTTATTCGATGGCCTCACGCTTAGGTCCATCTCTGCAGTAGATCTGATCGCTAGGTCCTCCTGTTTAGGACTAGGGTATCAGTATCAGGTATGGCTGGAGAGAACGGCAAATTTCCTTGGCTGGATTTTCTTAGGAGGGGAACTAGTGGTGATCAAGGAGGGAACCACATCGATTTTCCTGTCGCAAACTGAAAACCCGAGTCCGAGTGGTTGTGCCCTTCTTGGATTAAATGAATCAAGGAGTTAAATGAACTTGTGGGCTGGATTTACCATGTGCTTGCTAGGCATGATCCCGTGATAGAACTACCAGGAGTAGGAGATTTGTGGGATCCCAATTTGATTGCTTGCCTGTGTCATCAGATTGGTAATTCTGAATTGTGTTGATGAATATGAAAAGCCATGCGTTTTGCAGAGATGGATACATCAGGACCTGCAGCATTCGTCAATGGAGAGATTCTGAAGATGTTCGTCGGCCGAAGAGTGCGCACGGTGGTCCAAGCCCAGCGCGAGGAAGGCGGGTTGCTTATCGGGCAGTCCACCGATGGTCATCAGCTAACCATCAAAGGGGCCTCCGGTGCCCCTATGTCGCACTATGTGGAGATTATTGGGATCGCTGAACCCAATCAGGCCATCCGGGCTGAAGTTTGCACAGATTTTGGTGAAAACTTCGGTGAGAATTGTTGCGCCTCGCATTCTTTTCCTCCAGTAAATAGTACTATGAATTGTTAGTCTGTACAGTTTGTTATCTTTTACATAAATCCAGACAGTGCCTGTATCTTGCCTATTCTGATGCTCCCCCACCAATGGTTTTTTAACATGTTACATAGTGATTGGGGTTCGTTATTCTTGTGTTCTATATTTTCTTGAGCAAAAAAATGTACAGTTCGCATAAAAATCATACTTTCATAAGTACGTTTTGTTACATTTTTCATCGTATTCATGCTTACAAGAGCAAATTTCTGCCTTTGTAAATGTGTAGCTGTTTGTGTTCTATACGAATTCCCAAATCCAGAAGCATTCAAAAACTAATATTGATTGTTTAATTGTTGGACTTTTTTTACCTACAGCCAAATTTGACTTTAGTTGTATGGGAACTTCAATCTCACCCCTATTTGTGTCAAATTTGTGTCTGATTGATCATAGAGTAGATTTTAGGATGACATGCACTCTTGTCTGGTTGGTAAAATGTAGCTTTTGAAGCTCATGGGCTTAACTTCTGGGAATGAGCGATTTGCGATTGATCATCTAGAGTAGATTTCAGGTGGAAAAACATTCTTCAACTAAGTTGAAAATGTAGCTCTTGAAGTTCATGAGTATACTTCTGGGAATGAAAAGCTATTTTAGCTTATATGCCCAATGTTACAGCGTTTCTTTGTATCAATTAATAAAATAATCTCAATCAACGTTTCTTTTGTTCTCGTCTGACACAGGACAACTAGTATGTGGTGCTAAATCTTTACATTTGCTGCAAGAATTTTATCTTAGACACCCTCATTACACCATTGATCTCTCTATCATGTTTGTCTGCAGATCCTGCACCATTCAATGGACTGTGCAAGCTTGCGAATGGCCAGATGAAGGATTTGTTCCTGTAGAGGTCGGCATCACATACAAGACATTCTGCCAACAAAGCATGTCTCATGTTCATGATTTCTCTAGCTTTAAGATCCGTCCAACTGTTTTTGTCAGTCATCTCAGTATAATCAAGCTACTTAGGGTCAGTATTGGTGCTTATTAAGACATATTAACCTTAAGCTATGTGAGGACAAGCGTGTGCTTTTGTTGCTGAAGAGCTTGTGGTGTTTGCTCCTTCTAAGCAAAGCAAACCAAAGCGTTGTGCTGCATTGTTACTGTCGCTTGCATTTGGATCCTTGAAAGCTGTGTTTCTTGTTATGCTCTCCGGTGCATCTTGATGAAGTGAGCTAGTATGATGCTTTCTGATGAATTTCAACATATCAACATAGTAACCCAAAGTTTCAAATTAACTGCATGCTCATTGTCCTGATGCAAGCATATTACTTTGATTCATTTGTTTTCTGTTTATAAGGCGCTTTGGTGGTTGTTTCCGACTAATTTTGCACGCATCCACCCAAACTTGGGTCGTTTGCAGCATATATATGCTCACTTCTAAAAAAACAATTAAAATGAAGGTCGTGACTGATAAGTCTGAACATTAATCATTCATCCTCTTCTTGGAACAAAAATCTTTTCAAGCATTCAAGATCAAAATGCTTCTTCCTTGATAGGAGTGGATTGGTATTGTGTCACTCTCGTACCTATCACAGCGATTACGAGGCCTCATCTTTTTTTCACTTAACCATAGAAACATGGTATCTTGGTTATGCTATGAACAAATCAAAGAGACAAAAGGAAAAGGTTTCGTTTGGGCTCCTCATTCGTGTCTCACTGCGTTTGTTAACTACTACCGACTTCAGTGTCTTCGCCGACAGACTACTTGCATCAACAACTACTTGAAAACACAATGGTGATGATGATGATGATGACAATTGTCAGGCTAATCTGTTTTTGAAAGCAAAAGGCATGACAATTTCACTGTATTAATTGAGGAGGAATATCACCTATAAGAGTTTTTTTTAATGAATGATATATTTCACCACACGCACACTAAAAATAAGCACTTTATTAGATCATGCAGAAAATAACAAGAATTAGTGGTATTAAGTTCCCATCAAAGTACCAAACCAAAGGCCAAAAGATCAATGTAGCCAGTCAAATGCATCACAGTGATTTGTACAGTTGTACTAATGCACATCTGAAGTGATGGATCAATGTAGCATTGCCACAAAAAGATAGAAACAAACAGAGCAAAATTTTAATTTACATCCTTTGTTTTCCTTTTCTTTTTTCATGCAAGCCCTCGCAAGATTACGTAAAGTGCTATTTGAACTTCAAAATGTGGCGATTTGGTAGTTTTCCCTTTGAAGGCGGGTTTTCGCGTTTACGCTTTTACCCAGAGGAAAGCGGATGCATTGACTTGGCAAGCCCGTAGCTCCGGGCCCCGAACCCGAGGCATCCGAGGACGAGGCCCTGCCGGTACGGCAGCGACGTCGCGCGCCGCCGCGGCGGCGGCGCCGACGACCTCTCCGACGAGGTGGACCGCCGCGCCGGCTGCAGCGACGGCGGGCACGGGCACGGGCAGGGCAACGCTAGCGTTGCTGTCTTCTTGGACCGCGACGACGGCCAGATGGACGGGGGCCAAAAGCCCGATGACCTCTCGGCGGCGGCGGCGGCGGTGGCGGAGTCGCTGTTCGCCGTGCTGCCGAGGAGGAGGTCACGCAGCGATATCCGCCGGCGAGTGCTCTTGGCGGAGGACGAGGAGGAGGAGGAGGAGGAGGTGGAGGTGGAGGAAGACGACGACGACGCGAAGGAGTCCGAGGGCTCGGCGATCTTGGCGAGATGCGGGCTCCGCGGCGGCGACGCCGATCTGGCCCGGCGAGGCGGCGGCCGTTGGCCGCCGCTCTCCCCCTCGTCGACGCAACCTTCCTCCTGCTCCCCGAAGCCCGCCTCCTCCTGGCGTATGGGCGAGAGGCACCCGACGCGGATGCGCCCCGCGACGAACAGCTCCTCGGCCGAGCTCATCGCCGCGGCGCCATTCCCTGCACCATGCTGGCGCGCGGCGAACTCGAAGTCCCCGCCGCCGCCGCCGCCGCATCCGTGGTCACCGTCCACGCCCGGAGCATAGTGCGCCGCCGCCGCCGTCGTCGTCGTCGTGGAGGACGGCGGCGAGCGGAGGATGTAGTGCACGGGGCTGGCCGGGGCGCTGAAGAAGAAGAACTGCTCGCTGCCGCCGCCGTCATCGTCAGCGTCGTCGACGTCGTCCTTCCCGGCGCAGCGGCGGCGCGTGGGGCTTGACGGCGCCGTGGCGGCGGGGCTCCCGGCGGCGGCGTGGGCGTGGCTCAGCATCGGCGGCGGCGGCGGAGTGAAGGGAAGGGAAGGCGAGGCGAGATTTTGAAGGAGACGTGGGTAAGCGGAGTGGTTAGCGGCCGGGGGGGAGGTATTTGTAACTGTGCGCGCGCGAGTCTCGATCGTGGGCCCAGACTCGCGCTACTACGTGGGGCCCGTGGCATTTAGGTAAATAAATGATCATTTCTATTTCGTATTTATTTCGAAATTTCTAAAGTATAGACCGAAAGAAATTTCTAAAGTTTAGACCGAAAGAAAAAACAAATCATAATTTAGGCCGAACGAAAGAAAGGTGAAGATATAGGGTGTGATTGGTTACTGGCCACAATTTACTATAACTAACATTAGATAAATTGTGACAGTCACAAAAGTGTGGTGAATAAATTGCTAACCACAAAGTGTAGCAAAGTTGACAAGAAAATCTAGTTTACGACATGTGGGATATGCTATTGAAAAAATATGGCAAGTCACAATCAAATGGCTGGCTAACAAACTGTGGTAGCTAAAACTGTGGTATGGCAAAGTGTATTCCTTAGTATCAAGATTGTTCTTGAATTGTTGTGAGAGGAGTTGCGAGAAATGATGAGATCGAGTGTGAATAGTTATATTTGGATTAATTGGTAAATTTAGGTTGTATCATCGAAACCTTCGTATGCCTTTTGTACACTAAATGAGCTAATACTAAAGCACACGTCGCCATGCATCATACTTGATCTATTCCAAAATGTTAAGCAACAAACTAATGTTTGATCAGTTCCAATATTTCAAAACGAGTGCAATCTAGCATTCGAGCTGTGTAGTGACAGTGTGACACACACATAAGAGCTTAGTGCTGAGCCTTTCTCAACGGCTTAATTGCGCGTGTAGTTTATAACTAATTAATTACTACTAATCAATCTTTATATACTACCTTAAATTCGGCGGGGTCAACAATTCTTTATATGCAGGCTTCGATGAACGTGGCGAGCACCTGCATGCACATATGCAGGCTGGCACGCACAAACGAGAATTTTTTTTTTTTGAGGGAAACACAAACGAGAATAATTATTTACTTAATTAGTGCGAAAAATACAAACACGAACACGGTCGAGACAGTGGAGAAAAGTGAGAGGAATTAAACAACCAACGTCAACAGCAACAACACGTAGCGCCCATGTATAGATGTATAGTACAGGTGGTGACGAGCAATATAATACGGAGTATATCTAGCTCTCTCACAGAGAAAAAAAGAAAAGGAGAAGTGTATTTGCGAGTAATCTACGGGCACATTTAATTTTATGGGAGAAGCGGCTATAATATATCTAGATCGAGTGTATATCAGTACTATATAGGAGTGAATCGTAGATTAATTTGTAGTGGTGGAACGTACGTGGGTGCCAAAGTTTTGGCAAACCGCTCCTTCGCAAAAGCTACATGTTAGTTATTAAAATAAAAAGCACAAAATACACCAGTGATATGATGGTAAAATCGTAGATTCATGACTTCAACTATCACGGTTTAAATTAATCCCAATACTCACAAATATTACACGTACATGTAAATTGATTTTCAATGAGGATGTGTCACTGATGTCCGTCTATTTGAACGTGTGTACATGCATGTAGTGGTAGTTTCAAATTACTTTTTATTTTATTTTTTTCCTAAGTAAAATTTATTGGCTTTCACCATCAATTAATAAATTAATGTAAATAATATTTATGGTTTTAGATTCATCATAAGAAATATTTTCATATCATATTATTTACATGTTAAATTATATATTTTTTAGGAATTAATGGATAAAGTTAGAAATATTTGACTTAATTATATTAGGATACATGATAAGTAATCAGAAATGAAGGGAGTATATAAATTTATGTTGTAGTTTACGTGAACCAGCGTGTACATTACGAATATTAGGTACGGTGTGCAGTGCCGTTTTGATCTTGATTTCACACATAACACAAGTTCATTTTGATACATCAACAACTTTATTAAAGCATGTGTAAGTATAGTTGTGTGTGTCTTTTATGTAAATGAGAAAAAAAAAACTAGAAGCAAATTGAGATGGAACTGTTAGGATTTCTTCTAGCCCTGATCCACATGTATGTCCTGGAACGATGACAGACGCGCGTGGCGTGAGTTCAGGTCACATTTTTCTCTACAAGCATAAATAAAGTTGTAGGCCTCCTTTCGCTTTTTCTCCGAGAGATATCGAGACACCCTAACTAAACTATCAAAGTAATCCTTGGATTGCAAGTCCAAAAAAGGCCACATATTTGGATTGAGCGAGACGATCGGTCGATGATTTCGAAGCCTGTCGGCTTAATGGCAATTAGGACAGCATGTTTAGTGGTCGGCTGTTGAACATCAGATACAATTATCTGCTAATCTGCAAGCGACAAGGGAACAAATGTAAACCCCTTTAGATGATCGGTTTGTCCTCAATCGATATATAAATCACTCAGCTTAACATTTTTCCCTCTGCAATATTTCTTCTCAAATATAAGAGATAGTACTATCTACTACTACTAGTTGTTGTTGGCTTCTTCTTGCTGCATTTTTTTTTCTGCGAGATTAATTCGTTTTATTTTGCAATGTTGTTTATGTGTATTAATTTTGGGAGGTTTAATAAATTGTGAATGAGATGCTGGTTGTTGGTGATGATGAGGATTAGAAATGGTTGCGACCTACTGCTGAAGCAGATGTGCACGTCCTCTCCAAGCTAATCAAACATCAATCGACTTGGAACGAGTAGTAGCATGGGTCTGGGTCAGAGGCAGGATGATCACTTGCAGCTAGCAACTCGCCTTCACGTAGCAAATTGCAAAAGGAATGGAAGAAAGTGATGGGCGATAAGGATTTTTCGACTTGTTCAAAGTCTTTCTCGAACGATGTGTTAATTATAGTTCAGTCCTCGTCGATCTGGGTACTCTCTTGTTTAAGGTAATACGTTTTATTTATGTTTTTTTGCAAAAAAAAAATCCCTTTTTTTTTATCGGGAACATGAGCTTGTGTAGCAAGATGATGTTGTACGTGAGTATTGGAACAAAATGGCCCAATCATCTCCTCTCAGCCCAAGTAGTTGTTTTGGGTTTGGATTAGGGCCGTTAGCCTGACGAGGCCTTTTCAGTTTGTACGGTCTAGGTAACCATTGAATAAGCCAAATGACATATTTGCAAACGAGAAGTAACTTTTAAATAAAATAAGCCAAATGATATATTTGCAAATGATAAGTAATTTTTAAATAAAACTTTTATATGTGTGTCCTTAGCGACCTAAAAGTAAATGGTGAAAAATAAACTTCGATGATAAAAACTTAGAAATCAGCTTCAAATTTAAGTTTGAAAATTTAAATTTTGGCCGATAAGTATAAGTATAACCGAAAAAGTGGGGCCTGTAAATTATCTGCGAGATTTATGCTGGCAGTCCACTCGTCAGCGAAAACCGCCGACAGCTGTTGCTGCTGGATTTTGAAGCGTGATTCCTATAGCGGTCCATTTTGAATGGACACCATTGATACGAACAGATCATTTCGATTTTGTATGGGATACAACCGTATCCGACGAATCGCCGATCTCATTTTTGTTTCTTTTTTCTTTTACTCTAGGCGGCGGTTTTAGTAGGCGTTGGATGAAAGAGCAACATTACAAAGGGTACAACCAGAGTTCATAAAAACCGTGCGGTTATCAAAACTTTTCAACTTTTGAAACCATGGTAAATCTCACGAAAATCACATAGTTACCACGATAACTGATCCACGGTTACCTCAACCAAAATAGTTTGGTGAACCCTGAGTACAACTACACCAATATCGTTATGTTTCTTGTTTGATGCAAAGGCCATTCTCTCTGGTACTATAAAAGCAGAGTCGCCATTCTCTCTAGTACTATAAAAGCAGAGTCGCCATCTGCCATTCCGTTCGTGCGCATGTTTGCACACTCCACGTGAGTAACAATACAATGCTTTATCATCAATCATCATCCTAGACTATCCCTAATTATATGAGCATGGTCCATTACATTGTATAAGTACTTCTACTACATATACTTAAAAAATATCTTTATAGGATTCTTACGAATAATAAACATAATTGTTTTGATTTAACTAGATGAAAATTACGGAAAATCTAAAATTTAGACATACTTACAAGTTAGCACGATAATTGGTGCTAGTGAGAGTTTAGTAAAAAGAAAAAAGAAAGTACTACATATACAACAGAACTCACACTACCAAGGCTTCTGCAGCTAAATTGTTGCTAAGCGCTTGCTCACATATATTCTCCTTAATGGATATAAATCCTCTTCGAAGACAGATCTAAACCCTCGTATCCTCTCTCCGTTGCCTTGCCGCCGCCCGAGTAGGTCACTGGCCAGTCGAGCGGCTGCTAGGAAGGCGGTGGCGGGGTTGTTACTCGGCAAGGACCTTGCATCCTATGTTGCGACGAAGTGGGGCTGTCGAGTCTGGGGTTCCCGTCCACAGATTTGGCAGTAGCACAGGAGACGGCAGGGAGGTGGGCAGCGGAGGCATAGCGACGATGGGCGGGCCCACGCCTAGCCACGTGGGTTGGTGTCGGGAACGGAAGTGGTCAGGAGGGCGGCGGGTAGCGGTGAGGCTACAGTAGCGGCGTCCCTTTGGGCAACGGCGGGTGTGGCGAAGGATGGTGGCAGCCTAAGCGTTGATGGTCAGTCCTCGGCAGGGAAAAGGTGGATCCGGTGGACGTGGTCCCTAGGCAGTGGTGGCGGGCTGGGAGTCCAGGAGGCGGAGGAGGATTCCGTCAACGGTTACGGCCCTATGGATGACAGAGGCATAGGAATCCAGCAAAGTGGAAGCGAATCCTATCAACTTGCGTTTGGTCGGCTAATTCTAACTAGATGATGATGAATGAAGGTGGGCTAAGCGGTGGTGTATGGCGTCAGCTCACTTCAAGCGGATGAAGATGGCATCAGCGAAGGTTCGCAACTATGGCACAATTGGGCAGCGGCGACTAGTCGACTACCACTTGCCAAATCTAGCCGTTTCAAGAGAGGATGTCGAGAGGCAGGGTTGTACCGAGGTCGTAGGTTTTTCTTGCTTCTTCTTCTTCTTCTTTTTCTTCTTCTTTGTTGTTGTTGTTGTTGTGTGTTCTTCTCTTTGTTGAGGTGTGAGCTATACTTTTGGTTATATATATCCTTCGTGGATGTAAAGATTGGATTAATGAAAATCCATTAACTTAAAAAAAATCTGCAAATGACTACTGGGGAAAAGTAATTCAGCATTATCAAAGCAAGATAAAAGAAAAAAGAACAACTTTGTATAACATGGCTACATCACATGTCCACACTCTTCTGTTGAAGAATTGAGGTGCAGGATCAGTTGGGAGTGTGAGCTGATTCATCAGCAACTCGTAGCCAAACCCAACCTTTACAAGCCCTCTCGATTCGCTGCCTCGTTGGCACCGGAAGGCGCTCTCGCCTCTCCAAAGCGAATCAAATCGATCGATCGCTTTCCCCGCCAAAAAGCAAGGCATGCACAGCCTCGCTGAAAGCAAACCGAATCCGAATGTCGCCCTCCACCTCCACCGCACGGAAACCCTCGCCCGGCGTGGATTCCTTCCCTTCCCACCGCTGCAACCCACCATTATTCTCCTCCGGGCACCACGTCGAACACCTTATATACGCCGGCAAAAGCGAAGCGATCCGCAGGCGAAATCCTTTTGATTATATTCGTTGGTGTGGTTGAGCTCGTCGGGGTGAGTAACTAGCATCGATGCAGGCGGCGATGCCGGCGGCGGTGACGCACGACGACCTGTCGCTGCGGAAGGCGCAGGAGAGGCGGGCGGCGCGGTCGAGCGGGCGGGCGGCGGTGGCGCTGGTGTCGCTCTCGGTGCTCTGCGGCATCGTCGGCTTCATCCTCTGCCTCGCCGCCGAGGGGTCGCGCTCCGAGGCGTCGCACTACCTCATGACCGTCGGCGGCGGCGGCGCCAACGCGGCGGCGAACAACGGGCAGGTGGACGTCTGCTTCTACAACTCCAGCGGCCGGGCGCCGCTGGCGTTCGCCATCGGGGCGTTCCTGATGCTCGCCGTCGCCATGTTCGCCGAGCACGCCTACATGCTGCTCGCCGTCGCCGCGCCGGACTCGTCCGCGGCGGGGCTCGCCGTCGCCGAGGGACACCCGCGCGTCCCCTCCGACCCCGCCAGGCTCACCTGGCAGACCTGCTGCCTCTTCTTCGTCACCTGGTACGTCAATGACTAGTCTACCGCCATTGATGACGCCATGATTGGGGTTTCGAACTAACGCTCGATCGTCGCTGCTGCGGCGCAGGATCTGCTTCGGGCTCGCGGAGGTGATGCTCATGGTCGGCATCGCGGTGGAGTCCGGCCACGTCAGCGACTGGAGGAAGCCGCGGGCGGTGTGCCACCGGGTGCGCCCGGGGGTGTTCGCGGCGGCGGGAATCCTGGGACTCATCACCGTCGTCGTCGGCTTCGTCGTCTACGTCACGGCCCTGCAGACGAACAAGCTGCGGGCGCAGCACCCCGTCGGCGGCTACTACGTCGGCCACGGCGCCCCACACCCGGGCATGCCGCCGCCGCCGATGCCGTACGGCCCGCACCCGCACCCACACCAGCCGCCGCCGCCGGCAGCGGCGGCGACAGCGCCAAGCGCGCCGGAGATCACGCCGGCCGCTTGCCAGGTCCAGCCAAGCCGAGCGGCGTGCGTCACCAAGCAGTGCGCTGATGCAGTTTGAAACGAGTAGAAGAATTTGGAGATTAAGCAGAGACGGTGATGTTTAAAAGGCATCTACTCTTTTCCGCGTAACATGTTCTTTCGTGATTTGCTATATTAGAGCATTTGATTTGAGTTATTTGCTTGTATGTCACACCATTTGTTTTTAGCACAAACATGATTTGAATTGTAAAGCACTTGATTCGTGATTACATCTCAACAAGTTTCAATTTAATTTACTTGGTCTATTAGCCTCCGCTGTATCATCTATTCGGAAATACGTGCAGCATCCATCACAAACAGGTAGACCGGAGTTACAGCTCCTTGGTGGTAAGCACGGTTATCACGCAGTAACCGCAGTAAACCGTACGACCATGTAAAATTTATCAAAATTTCAAATTATTTTTAAATTTTATTTGAATTTAAGGAGGTTACCGTGAAATTTATCAAAATTTCAAATTATTTTTAAAATTTATTTGAATTTAAGGAGATTACCATGGTTTTCCTTTCACCGTACCCCTGCAGTAAGAGTGGTTCGGTTTTGCAAACCCTACTCAGTGGTATTAACTAAAAACGCAGATGCAAAGAGATCACTAGAATAGTAGAACCGAACAAACCCTAGCAATATATAATTTAAAAGGCATAATGGTTTACATGTCCGGACAAACTGCAACTCAGCACACTCCTGACGAAACTCAAAACCAGACGGGTTCAGGAATGTGTTGTGACGGCTTTGCAGAAGCTTCGACTCAGGCTATACAAGTAGCAAAATGTTGCACACCATACTAAAAGATGCAAACACTACATAGTAGTAGCCTGATGAAAAACGCAGACTTCAAAGCTTTAATCCCTGTTACAGACGTAGTGATATGATATCCGTGACCAGTAGGGAAATAATGTAACACTGGCCCCCTTGAAACCTTTAGCTTATTGAACCACCAGAACAATTCAGTACCCCGCACAGTGGCCACAATTTACCACCTCTGGTCAAATCTGTCGAGGAAATTTGAAATCATTACTTGTTGCCTCAAGTGAATGATACCAGAACAGAAAGGATTTATGGTAAGAGTGGAAACAACCCACAATAAACACAAACCATGTTGAGGATTGAGAGTACCTGTATTTATTTGAATTGAGCAGCACCACCGCCTTGGCCAAAGTCAAAAGTAGCACCTTGGGGAGCAGCTACCGTGGTAGCTCCCATTGTATCATCCTCCTCATCCATCCAGTAGGCCTCAAGAATCTTCACAGCTTTTTCATAGATCTCATTGTTATCATGGCTCTGCAAGTTCTCAATCTTTTCCAAACCTTCCGCTTCATCAATCATCTGGGAAAAGACATTCACATCACCTGCAGCCAAGGTCTTGTCGGTTTCTCCTACTTTAAGAATGTTCTCGAGACCCTCCAAACAAACTGTAACGATTCTTATATCTGGGCAAATAAGAAGATCACACAATGGCTTGATGCAGCCCTCGCTCACCAGATACCTATTTTAACAAACCATACAATATCAAATCCAAATGAAGCTTAACATGAAACTATGAAAGCGGTTATATTTGCATTTCATAAAGCTGAATAGAACTGGTGCAAGGTGAGTAAACATACTTGATTTGATCATGGCTACCGCCTGAAGTAGCATTTGAGATGGCCCATGCAGCTTCCTTCTTGATATCGAACTCTGCCGTTTGGAGCAGATTCACCAGAGGACCAATAATGCCAGCATTTATGACAGCCTATGGTAGTCAATGCAGCAAATTGTTGAACATTTCAGAACATGCACAATCAACAAGATCTATAGCTATAGGCTATTATAGGTTAAGGACGAAAGATTGCAGCTAAGTGCACAAGTTCCCAACCGTGTAAATGAATCAATCATCCATATGCTCCCATCCCCTCCCCTTCTAGGACCCCAGGTCCCAGCAGCAACATTTGGACTAGTGATTAGGCTGCCATTGATACTTTGCGAGCAAATCATACATAAGGGTTTCTTTAAGTTACTACCATGTTCTCAGTCTTTGTACAACAAGGATGAGTCTGCTAACAAGTGTAATCATCATGAAAGGAAAAGTTGACCTGAAAGCTTGCATGGAATATGAACATTGTGTGGTGTTTATGGTTTGGAGAGGGAACACAATTAAAACTACTAAGTATGCACTACACAAATCCTTCATGACTTAGTAGAATGATGAGCATGTCAGTATTTTTTAAGTCTGTACACATACCTGTATCTGATCTTTGTTACCAGCAGTAATATTTGAAATAGTCCAGCAAGCCTCTTTCTTGATGCTTTTCTTGAGATTTTGTGTCAACAGACTTAGGAGGCAAGGGAGGGCTTGATGATCAATGATGCACTGTACAAAAAAAGGGGGTGGGGGGAGATGATGAGATGGCAATATGGATGTCAAAAAAGCAATTAACTTTCATGCTGTGATCTACAGTAGATATTTCATATTATATGAACACCAGCTTTAGCATAGCAGAAAAATTCTCAGCTCTCCTAAAACTCAAACAATAATAAGAATACAATAAGAAAAGCCAAGTTTGGCTGAAACAAGTACAGCAGCTATGACTTGCTGCAAAGCAGGCAATGAATTTTTAGGCAAACTAGCAAATTGCCTATGCGTTGCAATGAAAAAAAAATCATGCTGTGCACACTGCATGCTCATCATTTGAAGAATATGTAGACTGGCTCTTTTCAACCCCTTTATGGATTCCTTCCCTGTAGATCTTACCAAACAATATGGACATTATCTTTTGGAGGACGTTTAAATTTATTGAGCATGTGGGTTTCACCCAACATGGAGGGCCCATACATTAGTGATAGAGGTAGTGCTGGCAGATTCACTGCCACCACCACTACTACCTTTTAAAGTAGTATAGAGTATAGATCTAAGTGATACTGTGAGAGGACAAATCTCAAGTATTTAAGTGACACAAACTAGACAAATCTTTAATTGATGGGCGTAAAGAGTAGGTCAAATTGCCAAACATGTGCATCTACATATGACAAATATGTGCATTTATTTTTCAATAGTTTTTACAAAACATTTTCCACATTAGATGCAACCTCTAGATTTAATATCAACTATGATATTAAACATTTTCCACAAGCCTAAAATTTAATATCAACTGTGATGAACACAACCTCTAAATATTAAGCTCAAGATTCATGAGTCTTAGTAGTTGATATCAATTGATACAAAATCTGTCAGATATAGAGATGCAAAAAATCAACACAATACCTGAGTTTGCGCGTCATCTCCAGTTACAATATTTCCAACAGTTCGTAGTGCGGGTATAAGCACTGAAGGTGATGGATGGCTTCATGTTGTAAACAGTATAAAATATTAAAAAGGGTATAATGAGAGTAGCAAATAAGAATCTAAAGGAAAATGGCAGAAAATTGTAATGCAATGTTGTCACTTACAGGAGAAGCTCCACAAGACGGGGGCAAACACCAGCTTCAATCACGGCTTGGATCTTGTCATTAGTGCCATCAGATAAATATGAAAGAGCCCAGCACGCATCAGTGAGAACTTCCTCATCATTGGAGTGAATAAGCCGTGCCAGTGCTGGAAGAGCAGGCCTAGTCTATTGACACCCAATAAACATCATGTTAAGGAACTGTCTTTCCCTACTAACTACAGTAGAGTACAAAGAAACTTTGTCCAAACCTGTTCAAATGATGGCTGTGGTTTTCCTCTGCAGAAGTTCGATAAAGTCCAAGTTGCATTCCTTAGCATAGAGAGTTTAGTGTGCTCATTCAACTGTGCTAGCAGAGGCAGCAATGCACCATTGGCAAGAACAAGGTCACGGCACTTAGGGGAATCACCAGCAACATTGCCCAATGCCCATACAGCCTTCAATTTTTTTTCAAGAGGTAAAAACATTAATAACTCCAACAATGCACTCAATCAAAATAATATCAAGGAAGTACAGAAAGCACAAAGACAAGTCAGGAGATGATCGGATACCTGCTCACGAACATCATCACTAGAAGAACCAAGAAGCTTCACAAATATTGGTACAGCCCCATGATCAATGACAACCTTTGTATTCTCCGAAGTGCCAGATGCAATGTTTGTAAGTGCCCACGCAGCTTCGAACTACAAAATTTAATTCAAAAGCACCACAGTAATAAATCCATTTTTATTTGAACCTACCAGATAATGAAAATAATATTGTGTTGGCACACACCTGTAGCTGGGGGAAATCCTCTCTGGTAAGAAACTGCACGAATCTAGGAACAACGCCTGATTGAATAACCTCTTCAATTGGAGGGCTCCTCTCTAATTAAAAATTGTAATGGGTGTAATTAGTAATTAACTTTTGTTCAACTATTATTTTCACAAGGTAACAGCCCAAAACATTTAAGAGGTTTGTACCTATAGAAAGCAACTTGCGGAACTGTGTTGTGGCCTCAAGCTGAAGGTTGTTATCGTCCGAATAAACTCCACCAATCATAGCAGGAAGGCTTTCGAGCTACAACATTCAACAGAGATATCAAATACTCAACTTCCCGTATTAAACCCCAAAAAGGGTTTAAAAGCAGTTTCCTTCTCTTTTAGGGGTGGTGCAAAGAACAGAAACCAGAGGTAGTTTAACAGTAACATAAATGTATGCGTTATCAATGTAGGACGTCTCTAGAAACATGACCAGAAACACTACTATATGATTTATGTGCTTCCATGTACTAAAGACAAGGTTCAGTCATAAGGAAAGTTGCACTGGACCCTCAATTTCAAGATAGCACAAAAAATAGCTATAAAGATATAATATGGCATCAGCTCATTTGTATGCTTCTATCAAAACATAAGATGAAACAACAGCAAGATGTACACTAAAAATTATCAGGAAGATCAATCATTATTACAGTTCCTGGTCACCTAACTAATTATCCGCAGTGAATCCGTGGAAGATTTGATCCTAAGACCACAATCTACATGTCCTAAAACTAAAACTAGATCACTGGAGCTAGCAGGCATGTACCTGGAAACATTTCAAACGCTAGGAGTTCGCAACCGTGCCAACTAACAGTACTTGTAATATTGTCAACAGAAGGAGAATCAGAAATCAAGTGACTAATCGAGGCATCGAAACGTGGTGCTAAGTGTTGCCTACATCTAGCAGGAACCTACCCTCACCCGCACGCTAGTAGACATGCGGGTATAATAACAAACTTAAACAAATATGCCGCAGACGAATCAAAAACCCTCTCAAAAAGTGCAATCCAATCCAACACCTACCTAAAATATGGGATCCAGGACACGATGGGATAGCGTCATCGGAGGCAGGGGAGGGGAGGGGAGGGGAGCGGGGGGGAATCGAGGAGTATACTACTCACCTTCTTATCGACGCCGGTTGCGGCGGAGGCGGGGACGGGGGCCTGGGCCTGGAGCCCCTCGCGGCGCTTCTTGAGGAGGCTCTCCTCGCGGCGGCTCTTGCGGATCTCCACCATGTTGTCCTCGCGCCGCCGCCTCCCCTCCTCGGCGTCCACCGCCACCTTGTAGCGGTTCCGCCGCACCTCCACCCGCTCGCTCGGGCGCAGCGACATGGCTGGCTCGCCGGCTGGGTGCTCTCCCCCCCTCCTCTCCTCGCGGCAGCGGCGGCGGCGGAGGGAGAGGCAAAAACCCTAGCGAGGCGTCGGGGCGGAGGAGGAGAGGAAAGAGGAGGAGAAACCCTAGTGGCCGCGGGGAAAGGGGGGGAGTTAAAGCTCACACACCACGATCCAAATATTCTCTGCGATTTATTTTCTTTTTCTTTTTTTTTAATCTGCAGAGTCTGCCACAATGACCTCTTCCGCGGGCCGCGGCTTCGTCGTGTTGAGTTTCGAGAAGGAAACGCGTGTTGGGCCCACCGATGATTGAGCCCGGCCCATCTGTACATAGTCTCGGTCAATTTTCATTTTTTAAAAAAAAAAACTCGTTTCTTACATCCTTCAAATTTAGCTGTACAGATCTGTTGAAGTATTAGAGCAGGTACAATAGCAGGCTATAAGCTAGCTGCAAATATATTTTAAAGAGATAAATAAGGAGAGATAAGGGTAGCGGGCTAAAGATTTGTAGCCAGCTGTAGCACGGACTCTAAGACGCAGTTTATATATGACAGGTGGGACCATGTATTAATAGTGTAGTATGTAACTATTGTATGAATGAGCTATTAGATTGGCTATAGATGAATTGGAGCTAGTAGTTGGCTACACTATTAAACTTGCTCTTAGGAATTATTCAATGGTGTGTTAGGTAGTAATATTTTAGGACGGTGGTAGTAGTGTTGTTTGCTACTCTCTCCCTCTTAGAATATAAGAATTTTTAGGTTTGAGCACGGGTATTAAGAAAATATGTAGAATTAAATGTGTGAAGGTTGTGATTGGTTGTGAAGTGGAGGTAAGTGAAAAAATTGAATGGTGAAGGGTTGTGATTGGTTGAGAAGACAGTGTTGGTGAATAAGTTGTTATATTTTGAGACAAATCTTGAGAGTTATAAGTTGTTATATTTTGGGACGAAGGGAGTAGTAGAAAAATTTTTAGTGAGGGGCAAATAAACTTATTTCTATTGCACAAATCCTTCAAAGTCAGCCAGAAATTCAATGCTTTGAAAATAAAATGTTAGCAAGAAATTATTGCATTTTCAAGGTCTTATGAGCTGAAGCTAATTTCAAATTTTCGAAGAAATACACCTTTCTACGAAGGGGGGGGGGGGGCAAGGGGGATAAACTGTTTCATGTGCGCATCCTCCAAATTCAACCGGAATTCAGTTCTGGGGGGAATTAGCTAGAAATGCATGCATTTTCAATGTCTCCTAAGCTGCAGTTGATTTTAAAATCGAAATTAAATTTAGGCTCTGGAATTGCAAATATACAAAAATCTTTATTTATATATAATGGTGCTACAAAAGTATACATTTAATTTAGTCGCTGTTACACTTCAATATACTGCTCATGCACATTTTGACATCAAGGATAAATTACAACAAAAAAGAATCAACAACATTTCCATTCAAAATTAGAAGACCCTCTTGAATGTGCCTTCTCTTTCCCGAGACCAACAATTACAAGTTAACACATTTTTCACTAAGAAAACAAGATCGTTAAAAAAAAAGAAGCGAAAGAAAACAAATTAAAAAGAGAAGCTTCAATCACCAGCGCTGCTGGAGCGCGCTTGCTCGCTCTCACGCAAAGGGTCGCCGGCCGGCGGCACGCGTGCGCGGTGCGCGCGCCGGCACGGTGGCGGGCGGCGAGAGCGATCGATCAGATCATGTTGGAGAGGGAGCGGCAGATCTCGGACATCTCGAGGAGGGACCGGTTGAAGTGGTCCATGGGGTTCTTCTCGCCGACCTTCCTGAACTGCTCGTCGCAGCCCTGCATGTCCTGCGCCGCCATGCCCATCATGGCGCGGATGGTGACGGCGTCCTTGAACCCGATGGCGCGCCGCGCCGCGCCGAGGTTGTCCTCGACGTCCAGGTACAGGCTGTCGCACAGGTCCAGCGCCTTCGCCGCCTTCGGCGTCGCCGTCTTCACCGCCTCCGTCAGGTGCTTCCGCGCCGCCTCCGTGCGCAGCGCGAACGCGTCCACCTGCATGTTGAGCACCGCCAGCGGGTCCACGGCGGCGCCGTACTTGGACGCCTGCTTCCCCGCTGTGGCAATGCACACCTCCGGGTACGACGTCTTCTTGCATATCTCCGCCACCTCCTCGTTCTCGCCGGCCGCCGTGGTCCAGCAGGCCGCCGCCGCCACGACGGCAACGACGAGGAGCAGCGTCGCGTGCGCCAGTGATCTCGCCATGTCTGCCTCTGGTCTTCACTAGCTAGTCTCCACTCGGTTCCCAACGCCAACGTTGTCGTTGCGGGATCGATTGAGGTTGGCCGGAGACAGGGGCGAGAGGGAGATAAATACTCGCGAGGCTGATCCGCCGTGGGGCGGTGTGGTGAGGGAAGCGGCAAAAATGGCGGGTGGCCTCCGGCTGGCCAGCTGCTTCGAGCCGCTCGTTTGGTGTTTGCTAAAATGCCAAGCTTTCTATTTTTGCATGGAACCCGCGGAGCCGTTGGAACACAAAGATTGCAGTAAAACTTCTTTTTTGGAAACATTTTGCATTTCTTGCCAAATTAACACATGCATGGTTTTAACTTGGTAGCAAAAGTAAATAACTAAATACTGGGAATATATTTTATCTGCAATTTTGCAGAAAATCTGTACATACAAGTACAACAATGCCTAGATTGCACCATGCATCTGCAAGCCAAGGGATTAAAGTGTACATTTGTGATCACGCCAGCTGTCCATGGATGATGGGGATCACGGTCCTTTGCTGTGGTCAAACAGACCTAACCGAAAAGTCTGAATTCCTACCGCGCCACAAAAATTGTTGTCTAATTAATCAAGCTATAGTATACATGTTTTTTTATACTCGATCAGGTCATAAATATTTGATGTTTACAATCAAATTTAGACAAACTTTTTAAAATTTTGATAATTAATTTTGTATCAAGATGAATATGTAAAATCCTACAAGTTTTTAAGGCAAATCAATTGAAGGACTTAAGAAATTAATGGTTGGAATTTCAAAAGCTTAACCAACGTATGACGTATTATTCTAAATGCCAAATATTTATTGCCAATCTAGCCATCAAAGGGTCAGTTTGGTATTTGAGGTTTCCGTTTATTCACATCAGTCTTCTAGTAGGTATAGTGTTGGCTTAAAAACATCGTGGGACTCACTGGATGTGTCACATGGTTAATCCTAATCAATATTTCTGTTAGAAAACGTTTTTGCCCTTAATCTGCATACACTAAATAAGAGAAAAAAAATAGAGTTGTACACGTACTTCCTATTGTTTTAGCACGTGCACACGAGGGTTGAGTTTTAAATGATTGTAGTATGCACATGGAAGTACATAAATATTTCCTTTTTAGATAAAACCAATAAGAAAGTATTGTACGCAAAATTCAATAAAAAACATCATATAATGATGGGTTAATTGGATCCATGCTATTACAAATATACCTTTTAGATAAATGACACTATTATTCACATATCAGCTACATGCCACTGGAATTTGGGAAAATTGAAATCGTGTCACTCTGTCAAGTTTCCCGTCATATCCCTAGACGTGAAACCCACATGTCGGTTCCATCTTCATCCATCCTCCCTCTTCTTTCTTCCTCACGTATAGTTGATTCTAATAGAGATTTTTAATAGAAAACGTGATGGAGTGGGGCACGGTTCCAATTTCCCCAAATTTTAGTGGCACGTAGCCGATATCATAAACAATAGTAACATTTATCTAGAATGACATATTTATAGTAGCATGGATCCAATTAACTCTATAATTATTGTTGGATACTTGGATGTACCGCTGACATGAACTTAGTTATATGGGTGTCTCATCATACATTTTCACCACATGAATTGCAATGTGTGTGTGTGTGTGTATATATATATATATATAAGGGGTATAAGGGTCGTTGATCAACCATCCATGTAGCTTTGTAAGAACATGTTCAGTTAATATCTAAGAGAGAGGGGTTAGAGGGAAAGCGATTATACAGCAGTAGTTGGTTAGGTTTACCCAGCTATGTAGCTTTTCTAAGAACATGTTCAGTTAATATCTAAGAGAGATGGATTAGAGGGAATTGAGGGAAGTAATTTCACACTATAAAATAGGTGTGAACTAATCTTTTTCAAACCAAACAAGGACTAAGTAAGTTCAAAAGAAAGAGTTTGAACTAAAATATAAAAACTTAAAAGAGTAGTAGGATAGACATATCGGAATTTTAAGGACCAAACTGAGACATGAGTGAAACTTGGAGAACCAATCTGGCTATTCACCTAAAGTAATGCAAAGTATGTCTTAGTATGGGCGGTACATGCCGACTAAAATTAAAACCACACTTGAGCTAGAAGAAGACAACCCTTATTACACCTTTACGTGCCAATGGCATATACGATCCATCTAATAATAAATAAATATTTTCTATAAGTATGGCAGAAACTAAACATATATATAACTTAATCAGACCTGCTCATCTTAAATTATGACATGGTGAGGTAATTTGTGGTTGCGACCCATAAAACGCCTAGGTCGTCTCTCTTGATCTCTAACACATGAATAAACATACACGGAAAGTGAAATGGTTCGGCACGACGAAGGTCGCATAACTCTTTTACCCACCCGGATTTAAGTCATAAGTTAATATCACTGTCATATCCTTCACCAAAACTTTTTTTATTTTCTTAAAGACGACCAAGTGAGTAGTCCCTCCGTTCCAAAATATAAGTAACAATCACCCTTAACCCAAAGTTCAAGAAACAAATATTTTCACTTTCTAATCTGGATCACCCTAATAATATAGTGCATGCACTCAATAGACCAATAGAATTAAAGATCTTGAGAGTGGAGGATTTAGAAAAATAATAATTTAGTGAAGAAGATGTGCTAATTAATTATATGCATGCACACCTTATATTATGAAACATCTAGAAAAAAAGTTGTATTATATTATGGAATGGAGGGAGTAACAACTAACAAGCAAGTTGTTATGATTTCCAACTAGTAGCTTTTATTCATTTAATCGAGCAAAAAAAACTGCATAAAAGAAACAACTTAATTCCAATGTTTTTTATCAACTGCAGTTTAATTAGGCTGGTCAAATCCGCCATAATTAACTTCGATTGTTTCGCAGTTAAGCATCTGCCTAAGTTAGTTATTTCACCACACCAACTTTATGATCCATTCGTTAGGTCCATGGTTTGTCCTCCTACTGAAAACCTCACTTGTAAAGGATTTTGACCTCTACCTGTATACGGGCCAGCAAAAGTCAAGCAAACCAATACAAGGTCATGGCTTCCTCCCGCCAGGTCAAAGCTGGCAACCGAAATCAACCACGGGAAAGCGCCGTCCTGGACGAGATTAACGTCTCTGTCTCATTCTTCAGAGGAAGAAAATGACATAACCCAAAGAATTAGTAATTAATTAAATACGATCATGGATAAAAATGAGCCTTACACATCAGTTAGTAATTAATTAATTACGGTCATCAGTTTACTACTCCCTGAAACGGTCATCAGTTTACTACTCCCTCCGTTTCAGGTTATAAGACGTTTTGACCTTGGTCAAAGTCAAACTATTTCAAGTTTGACTAAATTTATATATAAATATAGTAATGTTTATAATACTAAATTAGTTTCATCAAATCAATAATTGAATATATTTTTATAATAAATTTGTATTGGGTTAAAAACGTTACTACTTTTTTCTACAAACTTGTTCAAACTTAAAGCAGTTTGACTTTGACAAAATTTAAAACGTTTTGTAACCTGAAACAAAGGGAGTAATTAATTAGCCAAGGAATTAAACTGATGTGTTAGGCTCTTGATGATGATTCGTTTGCTGTCGTCGATTGATTATGGAAGAGGTAAAGTGTCATTATCAGTTTGGTAGGGGGGAGGGGGGGGGGGGGGGAGGGTGCATTGGGCACAGGGCAGGCAAAGAATACGCATGATGGCACACACATGTGGTCTACGTCTACCGGGATATGATACGCATCTATGGCTCTCACTACTGTACCACCCTACATGGCATCGTCCTTTGAGTGATTAAAATAATTAGTAGTACTATTAGAAATTTGATTAGTTTACGCTAACCTAGTAGTAGATTAGTTTAGTGTGAGCTATCACTGTTTTTTTCTTCTTCCATTTCAGTAGGAAGCCTAACCGGAGTAGAATATCCTTTGATTACAAGCACGACTGATTCAAAGTTTGAAATTCAAGATAGAAATAATTTCAACATTAGGCTACGATCAGTTGAGCCACTGTTGGCAACATGTAGAAAAACCAACAAAATATTAAAAAAATATTTATGGCTAAAATTTTTACATATCTAATATGAGTAGTTTAAATGCCAAGGTTGTGCTCGGGAGGAGAGGTTAGCAACCTCTCCCCATACACGGAAAACGTGGTTACTTATTAACATATGGTTAATTAAGTATTATATTAAAAACTTAAAAATATATTAATATGATTTTGTACAACAACTTTCCCATATATCTTTTTTATTAAAAAACAATGTTTAACACTTCAGGAAGCATGCACGTAGAAAACAAAAGAATAGAAGTTGGTACTCCCTCGATCTTAAAATATAAGCAATATGGATTGATTAGGACACACCTTATTACTACGAATCTGGATGTAGGAAGTAACTTATAGACATTAGTAACTGAAGAATAGATTATGAGAACAAATATAAAAAAACTCATAAGTTCTCTTTTTATTTAAATTTTAAAGTTTTTTTTAGTTCATACTTGTACCATGTGTCTGCTCGTGGTGAATTTCGTGGTGTTTTTTTTTTACTGGTTGGTTTCACCTGTCAGTGGCAGTGCCAGCTTCGAGCAGTGCAACGGAAAAGGGCAAAAAAGTCAGCAGGCGGAAAAAAGCAGCAGCGAGAGGAGAGAGGAGAGGGGGGCGCAGGCGCAAAAAGCAAGCTACCACCGCAGCCCAGCTCGAGGCCACCACCACCACCACCACCACGGCACGGCGAAAGGGGAAGAAGAAGAGGAAAGGAAAAAAAAAAAATTCCGCAGCTGCTACCTCTCGCCGCCTTCGCCGCCGCCGCCGCGAGAAACCCAGCGGCGTCCCGGGAAACCCTAGCCCCATCCCCCACCCCGCCGCGCGCCCTCATGGGGCGTCCGCGTCGGCGCCAGTAGTAGACAGGAGCGGGGGGCCCGCCCCGTCGCCGACGAGGGGCATCCAACGATGGCGCGGATACGGCGCGCGAGCTCCGGACGAGGTTAGTGTGGCCCGATCTGAGCTGAGCTCTCCCTCCCGCGCTTGCTTTGCTGCTGGCTTTAGCTAGGTGGTGTCGTGTGGTCTCGGTGTTCGCGCTATAGCTAAGCGTAGAGAGCAATCCGAGGGTTTAGCTTTCGCGGCACGGCGGCGGCGGCTCGTGCCTGTGCGGCGAGGTGATGCGGCGAGGGGTTGGGCTTGAGGGGAGAAGGTGCGTGATGTCGGCTAATCAACTACTGTGGTGGCGGTGGGGGGGTTGGCGGGTTTGTTCCAGGATCTTAGTCGTCGCCGCTTGTTCGGTAGCTCAACTCTCAGGCCGTGAGAATTTGGGTTTGGTGTCGCGGGAATGGTGGTCATACTACTATGTAGGATTCAGTGCTCTCTGCTGCCGTGGCGATACTGGATATCTGGAATCTGATCGAAGAAGTGGGGCTTAGCTTAGGTTATCAATTATACAAATCCATGCCTTGGATAGCTCTTGGTTCTCTTGTATTGAGCTTTTCTATGTTGATTACTTAAAGCTGTAAGGCGGTTTTCTACCACAGAAGCACTATACATTTTCTGGACCTTCCATGTCAAATTGCACCAGTTCGGAGATAACAACCATTGCTATACAGAACAAGTACTTTTTAGTCTAGTTCATCTAGGATTTGTATCGACCAAAAATATACGATGAGCAGCTGGATGTCCCTAGTTCAGCATACATTGGGTTTTAAAATAGTCAAAATTGACATTAGTCTGTATTTGTTGTAGCCTCTGATCTAAGTTTGAGTCACTACAAATGGATTTGTGATATTGATTATCAAATTCAGGCCAATGGATCCTCCTTTACAAGAAAATGGTCATTACTGAACTCTTGTTACTGGAATGATGAGAATTCCTGCATTGCTGGGTTTGCGGAAAGTATCTACTTTATGCAGAGAAAATAGGCAACATCATGTTTACCATGTTTGGCCTTTTCTGGGAAAGTTATTATAAGTTTTAATTTGTGTTTATGGCTTCTTATGGAAGGAAGCTCTTTCGTTTTCTTGCAATAACTTGTCTTTCTAGAACTAATTAGCTCAAGTCAAAAAAATGTTTAATCCACCACCATAGCCATGTTAATTAGATTATGCTTTCATGCAGGGTAATAAACATCATTATAGGTTGAACATATACCATCACTGTCTCTGCTGAGTTTATCAACTGGAGATAAACACTTTGAAAATAGCTGTCATACTATTTCTGGTTCTTTATAGCTAAATAATGGTGGTTTATCGAAATATTTACATGGTCTGTAAAATCTTTAACTACACATGCCATGAGGTCTTATGAAATCCTCTTTGCTATTGATTTACACTATCTTTACTTATACTTGGAAACATCTGTGAATGCATATAAATATATGCTTGTGAACTTTTGTTCAACTACTCCCTTTGATTCCAATTATAAGTCGCTTTAGACTTGTGGACACAAAGTAAGAAAACAGCTCAAATGACTTAGTTGACTTCATTGGAAAAGATGAGCCATTTATTTGTGAGAGGGGTATCATTTATTTAGCAAGGGCAAATTGGGAAGAATAACTGCAGAAAGTGCCTAGAAGTTCCATAACTTCTTACATTTAGGAAAGAGTTGAGAATGCTAAAGCGACTTATATTTGGAATTGGAGGGAATATTTGATTTATGTGTTAGAGTGACTATCTTGAAAGGTGATTCTGTACATCTTTTGAGTGTTCATATTCATTAGTTGCACCTGACCAGTGTCAATGTACATACATATTCTTTAAGGCGTTGACTTGTTGATTCTTCATTGTACTGTTTCTTGGCAGGGCTTTTGGAAGATGCTCGAAGGAAAACCTTCTTAAATTTTTTGGCTGTGGTATTTACTCTGGAATTGATTACCAGAATCAATTTGATTGCCCAAACATCAGCTCTAAATGTGGTTGCCCCTGCTATATCTCCATCTCAAAGTTGGAGACCAGTTCGCTCCATGTTGTCAAAAGCTAAAGTTGACATTAGTATTTCAGTCAGCGAACAAAGACGAAAGAAGCTATATTCATCACCAGCTACTCTATCTGTGCACCCTCCAATGTCAGCGCCAAGCTATAGCTCCATTTCTGGTGATTCTGATCTCTCCTTTTATTCTTCAGACATGTCAGATAATTTGGTGCAGCATAACAGACGCTCAGAAGCAGAAATTTCTACTCATGTAGATGCTGCGCCTCCTGATGCAGCCTCAAATACTAGTGCAGCTCCTTCTGGATTAGTACAACCTCCAGTATCTCCTCACAATGGTATGTTTGATTGTTAGAGCCTTGGAATCATCTAATTTATATGATTTTCATTATTCAAGCATGACTTGAAATTATATGGTGTAAATACAATGCGTAAAGGGCCATCTGGTTATTCGAGTAGATACACAAAATGATGCCTGTGTGGTTATTTCTGATTTGCCTTTCCAAGAATTTGTTCTTTGATTGCACCTCAACCGTAGGCATTTGAGTAAATTGTGCAATTCTTTTACCAATCAACCAAGTGATATCAACATAAATTATTCAATTGCAATTTGCTTATTAATAGTTAATTAGAAATGTTAACTCTATTGTGCATATCCACATTCACATTGGAATGTACAAAGCTTTTACTTAGATCTGTGTGGTATCATGGTGCACCTTGATGATTCGGATCAACATTTTGGAGATCAATGCTTTGGATGTTTCTATGATCGCAAACGCCGGCAACAGAAAACGCGCAAAGAACCAGAATTAAGCTGAGGGGATAAAGCTCCATCATTATCTTGCTTAAGTTTTGTTGGTCATTATCTTTTAAGTTAGTCGTCATCTTTAGTTCACTATCTCAAGATTGTTAGCCATTTATCTCCAAGTTTGTTAGGCGTGTCAAATCCCTTGATCTAGAAAAGGGTATCCGGGTGTAAGGAATAATTAAGTAAGATTAATCTAATCAAGTTTAGGCATGTTTAGAGCCTCTCGCTCTCGGGGGAAGAGCCCTGCCTCCCGCCAGAGGATGATCGCGAGTTTCGCCCCTACCCCCTCCAAAATCATCCACTCGAGCATTCACTGCTCTGACAGCCGCTGCAACACCATCACCATCGTGCGCGTATCACTGCATACTTGAAGCATACTGAAATGCTCAGTGCCTGCGATCCTTTTGGCCAAATCCAATTCTCTGAATACTGGTGTCAGATGTGAAACTGGCTGGTTGTTTTGTAACCTGTTTGGTTGGCATTGTACCAGCTTTCAATAAAGGCTTGCAGCGAGCACATGGAACTTTGCAAAGTCCATGTATGCGGTCTAAGCCAATTTATAAGCTAGGTCTCGCTTGTGCTATTTGTCACTCTGCTTTTTCCTGTCATGTGAGCTATTGCTATTGACTTGAACAACTGGCTTCTGTGATTAAGCTTACTCTCATTGATCTTAACTTTTACTGCTCCTAATTTTGGCTTATCTGCCTGATCACTTGAGAACTCTATAGTATGTCCAGCTTATGTGGCCTAACCACAACCCTTTTTTATGCTCACATTAAACAATAAGATACAAAATACATGTGGTAAGTAAACATTGGTATTTTTGTTGTTATCTTGTGTAAAATAATTAATGAATTATGTGAAGAGTGTTATATGAAATTATAGTATGGATAATATCTTCTACAATAATCTGTTTTATTTGAAACATGATAGTATTCTGTTGTTATCCTATTTGCAGTTTATTCTGACTTGCTTATTGAACATGGCCCCCAAATATTGTGGGACTTCAGCTTAGTTTTCTTCATCCCTTAGTAATACTGAAGTACACATTATTGTTGTGCTGTCTGCCTAAGAAACGTTTATGCTACAATATGGCATCTTTTCTCTCTCAGTTATTTCCAGCTCTCTAAGATAGCTCAGTGAGATTTAACCTTACTGTTTTCCCCATTTATTTTGCATTTGGAATTTTCTCATGTCCTTGGTTTTGGCCTATTTGATCCAAATATTTTAGTCACAGATTTGTTGTTAACCATTATTTGATTTGTAGTATTCTCTAACAGCTATAGATATGCTGTTACTCACATTATAATTTACCTTCTGTTTTACCAGCATGTTGTTCACATAACATGGTACAAAAGAGAGGGAGCCAAGATTGCCATTGTGTTTACCCAGTAAGAGTTGAGCTTTTTCTCCGAAATGTTTCACTGACGTCAAATTGGAGCGATGAATTTCTGGGGGAACTTGCTTCTCAACTCAGTCTGAGGGTTACTCAGTTTGAGATTGTAAATTTCTATGTTGTTGGGGCTTCTGGGCTAAACATCACAATGTATATAGCTCCCCATACAGGAATTAGTTTCTCAGCCGACCAAGTTACCGCAATGAATTATTCACTTAGTCAGCATACAGTTCAGATCAACCCTGTACTAGTTGGTGACTACAATCTTCTTAATTTAACCTGGTTCAGGCCACTGGTTCTAGCTCCTGGTAATGCTAACTGATCTTGACTTTGCTCTATATATTACAATGCCGCAGTTTATTTTAGTGTTAAGGTAGAGAACACTGTAAGACTACTTCAGTTTTTTTTTGCTTCTTTAATCTCTATTGTCTACTGTACTAGAGAAACTGAAGAATATATATAGTATGTGGTAATACTGCTCATATGTTTGTGATTATCAAATAAGCAGATGATTATAAAAAAATCACTGTGGGTTGGCATATTCCATTCTATAGAATCAATTAGCAACTATATGCCAAAGAAAAAACAGAAAAGAAAAGTAAGATAAAATTACAATATTCAGTTCCTTACATTTCTTATTCTGTTTTTGTTCTGCTCCTCTATACCCTTCATGCATACATAGAGTGCATCTTTTAATTTGCATCCAGTTCTACTGAGATACATATATCTTATACTACATATGCTTTGAGTTTAGCACTGGTTGATCTAGTACTCTAGTGCAAACTTTGTACACACTACACAGTTTCTTATACATATTCCGGTCATTAATTCTTGGTGTATCAACTTGGTTATACAGTTAATGTGCTATTTTCTTTGGTGAACTTGGCTGTGCTTCCTTTGTTGATGATGTGACAGAAAAGGATGTTTGGTGATATCAATATGATACTTCCTATGAATGATATAAACATTATTTCTTTATATTTACAGCCCTGTATGCTGTCCAGCTATGGTTTTTCTTTTAACAAATCTCCTTTCCTAATATTGTGATCTTTCATTTCTATTTCAGCTCCAACATTCACAATATCACCTAAACCCTCTCCATCTCAAGCATCTACAGTACCAAGACACAGTGCGGATACCAGCAATGAAAAACACATGAGCTTGATTACTATCATTTGCATATTTATTGGTGCTCTAATTGCTGTCTTGGTGATTGCCATGTTTATTTGCTTCTGCAAATTAAGGAAAGGGAAAAGGAAGGTTCCTCCAGTTGAGACACGTACGTGCAGAGTTATCTATTCTCAGCTACATTCCTTGAAAACTATAGATTTGTTATACTTCATGAGATCTCTAATAATTGATAGTGAAGTTAGATATACCATGTCCATAGCTCCCCATAATATTTTTGGTTTCTTAACCAAATTTAAATGAATTATGCTTATTTTCTGGTTCATTATGCATGTTGGAGCATTCTTTTAGGAGCATTAATAATATCAGTTCTCCTGTGCAGCCAAGCAAAGAACACCAGATGCGGTTTCTGCAGTGGACTCACTTCCTCGCCCAACAAGTACAAGGTTCCTTGCATATGATGAACTGAAAGAAGCAACCAACAACTTTGATCCGTCAAGTATGCTTGGAGAAGGAGGTTTTGGCCGTGTCTTTAAAGGGGTACTAACTGATGGCACTGCCGTTGCTATAAAGAAGCTTACTAGTGGAGGGCACCAAGGAGATAAGGAATTTCTAGTTGAAGTGGAGATGCTGAGCAGGTTGCACCACCGAAACCTTGTGAAACTCATTGGTTACTATAGTAACCGTGAGTCATCACAGAACCTACTGTGCTATGAGCTTGTTCCTAATGGAAGCCTAGAGGCTTGGCTTCATGGTATGGCCAATTGAGTCAACTATTTCTCCTTCTGAAATTGCTGCATAAGTTCCACTCAGTTGCAGTTGAATGTGGTCCTTCATTGTTTAATTAATTAGTGGTGATCATGTAATCATGATACACCTTGACTCTTGAGTCTCTGACTACTTACATTTTTTTCAGGTACATTGGGAGCTAGCCGCCCCTTGGACTGGGACACTAGAATGAGGATAGCACTAGATGCTGCCAGGGGATTGGCATACCTTCATGAGGATTCTCAGCCTTGCGTAATCCACAGGGATTTCAAGGCTTCTAATATATTGCTTGAGGATGACTTTCATGCTAAAGTGTCTGATTTTGGTTTGGCCAAACAGGCACCGGAAGGTTGCACAAATTATCTCTCAACACGTGTTATGGGAACATTCGGGTAAGCAGGTTGACCACCTTGAAGTACTCCCCAGATGTTTCTGCTCTGCTTTTGCTTCATATAGCTGTCGTGCTTTCAGGTATGTAGCACCAGAGTATGCAATGACAGGACACTTGCTTGTAAAAAGCGATGTATATAGCTATGGAGTTGTTCTACTTGAACTACTTACTGGGAGGAGGCCTGTGGATATGTCACAACCTTCTGGCCAGGAAAATCTAGTGACATGGGTTAGATTTCTTTCTGCTCTTATCTTCAGCTGTTATTGTATTACCTTTTTATATCTGAACATGGATCCTTTAGTATGATAATTGTCATCTGAAGTTCACTAGCCATGCATGTTAGATATTTATCGATATATCTCGACAAGGCAAACAAACAAATGGACTTAGAGCAATATTACTACTAATCTGTTTCCTTTTTCGAAAAAAGAGAGACATTTTTTATGTTCCTCTCTATTCATATGCATTGTGTACATCCTTGGGTGGAAAGCAGATTTATGTGTGAGTAAATTTACACTTCAACATTTTTTTATGCCTGTTGTGCCAAAGCGCCATCTATCTGTTTGTTTCTTTTTGTGCCTATGTTTATGAGCTTACACAAATGTTTCCTGATCTTTCCACTAAAAGCCTTGTGTCACATCAACCTTTGCTGGCCAATTTGTCAGGTTTGTTCATTAGGTTTTTGAAAGCCAACTCTCAAACGTCAACGTATTTCTTGTAGACAGTACCAAATTCTTATCCCTGCATAGGTGTAGAGATACTTATTTGCTCAATTTTGACTACGCAGGCACGACCAATTTTACGAGATAAAGATACGCTAGAAGAACTAGCTGATCCCAAGCTTGGTGGCCAGTATCCAAAAGATGATTTTGTGCGAGTATGCACAATTGCAGCCGCCTGTGTTTCACCGGAGGCAAGCCAAAGGCCAACAATGGGCGAGGTGGTGCAGTCACTGAAGATGGTCCAACGCTCTGAGTTCCAGGAATCCATACCAACACCTCCAGCACGACCCAATGTTAGGCAGTCCTCAACCACCTATGAATCTGATGGCACTTCATCCATGTTCTCTTCTGGACCCTTTTCAGGCCTCAGCCCCTTTGAGACTGAGAACATATCGAGAACGGCTTTCTCTGAAGATCTTCACGAAGGGCGGTAACAGTGGTGGTTTGTGAAGCTGTTTTGGGTAGAGCCTCAGAGTCTCTGACCACCCATTTGAAGGCTGGTGGTGCAAGTGACCTAACCAGTTTTATTGGGAGGTAAATCCTGTAAATTCCATTTTTATTCACCACCTGCGAAAGACCAAATTGTTACAAGAACATTCGGTGGCTTTGTATGATGGAAATGATTTTGTTCCAAGTTCTTTTTTGCTCCTATAGCTCCTGTCTCATTTACTGTATGGATCATAGACATTTAATTAGGTGATGTGGTTGTATTCTTCAGTGACAAATTGTGGTACTGTAGCTCGTGTCCTGATTGAACAGCAGAGAGCTGCGCTGGTGACCCTACACGTGTCATGCCCATGGCGAGTGCCCCTCTCCTCTCGTGGACCCGGCAAGCGCTCCCAGTCGCTGACACGTGTCACCCCGCTAATACTGTTTCCCTCAGCCTCCTCGTTTTGCTCCTCTCCCCTCGTCATCTCGATTGCTGTGTGCGCCTCACACTGTCTTCTCCCTACCCTCTGTTTGTCTCCTCCCTCTCCCTCTGCTCATGGCTGGTAGGGTTCGGTGCTCGCCGGCGGTGGCGCTGGCGCTCGTCGTGGCGGCGGCGGCCGCGGCCGCGGCGACGGCGAAGCTGTACAGCCCGGCGGACAGGATCCTGGTGAACTGCGGGTCGACGACGGACGGGCTGGACGCGGAGGGGCGCAGGTGGGTGGCGGACGCGACGAACGACACGTGGCTGACGGACTCCGGCAAGTCTTCGATCATGGCGGCCGCCGACGAGCTGGAGACGATGCTGCCGTCGTCCATCCCCTACATGACGGCGCGGGTGTTTACCATGGACACGGTGTACAACTTCACGGTGAACCCGCGCGACCGCCACTGGATCCGGCTCCACTTCTACCCGTCGTCGTACAACGGGCTGGAGCCCCAGGACTTCCGGTTCTCCGTCTTCACCACCACGGGATACACGCTGCTCCACAACTTCAGCGTCTACTTCACCACCAAGGCGCTCACCCAGGCGTACCTCATCAGGGAGTACTCGCTGCCGCGTGTCCCGGAGGGCCACTTCGGCGTCACCTTCTCGCCGTCGCCCATGATGAACGTCACCTACGCCTTCGTCAACGGCATCGAGGTGATCTCCATGCCGGACATGTTCAACAACCCGGCCACCATGGTCGGCTTCGCCGACCAGACCGCCGACGTCTCCGCCGCCGCGTTCCAGACCATGTACCGCCTCAACGTCGGCGGCGCCTACATCCCGCCGTCCAACGACTCCGGCCTCACGCGGCCGTGGTACGACGACACGCCGTTCGTCCAGGGCCCCCTGCGCGGCCTCGTCTACAACGCCGGCCCGCACTTCCACATCAAGTACCCCAGCGACGCCGCCGAGTACGCCGCGCCGCCGGAGGTGTACCTCGGCGGCCGCTCCATGGGCAGGGACCAGCGCCTCAACCAGAACTCCAACCTCACCTGGAGCCTCCACGTGGAGTGCAACTTCACCTACGTCGTGCGCCTCCATTTCTGCGAGCTCCAGCTCATCCACGGCAACCAGCGGGTGTTCGACATCTACATCAACAACCGGACGGCGCAGACGGACGTGGACGTGCTGGAGATGGCGACGGAGCGCGGCGTGCCGGTGTACAAGGACTACGCGGTGAGGCTGAGCAACGACACCGCCGACGAGCATCTGTGGGTGGCGGTGCACCCCTCGGTGATGCTCCGCCCGCAGTTCTACGACGCCATCCTCAACGGCCTCGAGGTGTTCAAGGTGAACAACACCGGCGGCAGCCTGGCGTCGCCGGACCCCGTCCCGTACAAGCTGCTCGCGGAGAAGGAGCTCGGCTGGGGCGGGCCGCCGGAGTTCTCCACCGACAACCCGGCCAACATGGCGTCGGTGATGGGCGGCACGGCGGGCGGCGCGGCGGCGGCCGGGATCGTGGCGGCCATCTGCGTGGTGGTGTACAGCAACAAGAGGAGCAAGAAGCTGGGCGGCGGCGGCGCCGACTCGCACACCTCCGCGTGGCTGCCGCTGTACCACTCCCACACCAGCGGCAAGTCGTCGGGGCACATCACGGCGAACATCGCCGGCATGTGCCGCCACTTCTCGTTCGCGGAGATCAAGGCGGCGACCAAGAACTTCTCCAACGACCTGGCCATCGGCGTGGGCGGGTTCGGCGTGGTGTACCGCGGCGTGGTGGACGGCGACGTGAAGGTGGCGGTGAAGCGGTCCAACCCGTCGTCGGAGCAAGGCATAACCGAGTTCCAGACGGAGGTGGAGATGCTCTCCAAGCTCCGCCACCGCCACCTCGTCTCCCTCATCGGCTTCTGCGAGGAGGACGGCGAGATGGTGCTCGTCTACGACTACATGGAGCACGGCACCCTGCGCGAGCACCTCTACCACAACGGCGGCAAGCCCACGCTGTCGTGGCGCCACCGCCTCGACATCTGCATCGGCGCCGCCCGCGGCCTCCACTACCTCCACACCGGCGCCAAGTACACCATCATCCACCGCGACGTCAAGACCACCAACATCCTCGTCGACGACAACTGGGTCGCCAAGGTCTCCGACTTCGGCCTCTCCAAGTCCGGCCCCACCACGCTCAACCAGTCGCACGTCAGCACCGTCGTCAAGGGCAGCTTCGGCTACCTCGACCCGGAGTACTACCGCCGGCAGCAGCTCACCGACAAGTCCGACGTCTACTCCTTCGGCGTCGTGCTGTTCGAGGTGCTCATGGCGCGCCCGGCGCTCGACCCGGCGCTGCCGCGCGACCAGGTCAGCCTCGCCGACTACGCGCTCGCCTGCAAGCGCGGCGGCGCGCTGCCGGACGTCGTCGACCCGGCGATCAGGGACCAGATCGCGCCCGAGTGCCTCGCCAAGTTCGCCGACACGGCGGAGAAGTGCCTCTCCGAGAACGGCACCGAGCGCCCCACCATGGGCGACGTGCTCTGGAACCTCGAGAGCGCGATGCACTTCCAGGACGCGTTCGACGCCGCCGCCGGCCGCCCCGTCCCCGCGCTCGACGCCGCCGCCGGCAGCAGCAGCCACCTCGACGACGGGAGCACGGCCAGCATCAACACGCTGGCCACGTCGTCCACGTCGCACCCGCACGAGCCGTGCGTCGACGTTGTCTTGGAGCCCGACGACGTCGTCGCGGAGCGCGCCACCTTCTCGCAGCTCGTCCAGCCCACCGGCCGGTGACAGTGACACCACTACGGCACTACCACAAGTGAACCATGCACATAGATCCAAAGTTTAATTAGTTCCGACTTTTTTTTTATTTCTTTCGAGGAAATTAGTTCTAATTAATGCCAAAGTTTGATTAGTTCCGAGTTTTTCTTTTGTGTTAATTAATGCTAAATCTCGGTTTTTGGTTTATATCCCTATTCCGGACCAGATTCATTCGTTTCCGAGACCTAAATCGAGTTCATCCCAAGTCCAATTCCGAAACCTCTCCGAATTTTCTTCCTCTATCTTAAGCAACATTTGGAAAAAAACTCTCCGAATTATACCATTATAAATTTCCAGTCACCCATGTAACGTGTGTTCAACTTGCAACGAAGCTAACCCAAACGATTAACTCCGCCTCGACCGGGAGCGGATTTCAACTCCGCCTCGACCGGGAGCGGATTTTAAAAACATCCCCTCATTATTTGCATGCCATCTAAATGATTATAAAAAATTTTAAAAAAAATGACTAGATAGATTAATCTAAATTAATATATTTCACAAACATGCTGGTTAAAATTCAACTTATACAAACTATAATGAAAAAACAAATTTCATTGCAACTTGTTGAAGTTAAATTTTGGATAAATGTGACATATCCTACATTCAAAATCCTTTATATTTTGAAATGGAGGGAGTATATATGTTAACTCAAATATAAGTTTATAGCTAGTTAACTCTACTATTAAACATCTTCTATAAGTTTATATCTCCCTAGTAGCAAAACACATATTTTTGATGGTTGGCTTTTGGGGTGGACAAGAAAGAGAGCAAGCATAACACATATTCTTGTAGGAGCTTCTGCTATACGTTGGGCTTTGTAGTTGTGCAGGAATAATGCGGTTTTTGACAAATCACCATCTATTACATATATGCAGGTAATTTTTAGGGTAACATATTGGCTTCAGCTCTGAGCTCAACTACAAAGATCTGAAGAAGATGGTGAGTTCATACAAGTAGCATGTCGGAAGCTTGAGACGGCGGTTATGCAACTCTTTACCAATTATAGATGGAGATTAACAAATAGACTTCGATAAATGTGTTCTCCTTATCTTTTGTTTTGGTTGGTTTCTCTTTAATCTTTGGTGGATGTTTTTGTTGTTTTGTTGAACTACAAACATCTTCTAAATTAGGATGGAGGGAGTAGCAGGATCAGGGTTTACCAAACCGTATGGTTATCATGGTTATCATGTGCGGTAGCCTTTTTAGTTTTTGAACCACGGTATATCTCGCGAGGTTACCGCAATAACAATCAAACCGCGGGTTAATGGTAACCCCACCCTAAACGGTTTGGTAAACCTTGACAGAACCCAACCACAAGTATTCTATTGCTCTGTAACGAATAAATAATGGTTTCAATTCTCCAGAAAAAAAAGATGATGGGTTGATCAGGGGGAGTATCCTTAATGTATGTTCATTAAGAGCATGTTAGTTTTTCAAACTATTAAACGGAGTGAAAACTTTCTGTATACAAATTGCTTTATAATTTTATCTTTTTAATAATTAATTAGTTATATGCTAATCACGTTTCTCATTTTAGTTGTAGAAGAGAGGGAAAAAAATATGAGCATGTTTTAATAATGTACTCCCTCCGTTTCACAATGTAAGTCATTATAACATTTTCCATATTAATATTGATGTTAACGAATCTAGACATATATATCTTTCTAGATTCATTAACATCCATATGAATATGGGAAATGGTAGAATGATTCACATTGTAAAATGGAGGAAGTAACTATTATTTATTATTTTATGTATTTTACACGATAAAAATATATTAGATTTATTTATATATTTTTATTAAGAGAAGAAGTATGTTTCATTTGTCCCGGCCCCACGTATCAATGAAACCAGAGGATCCCAATCCTCTACTCCTAGCCCACCCCAACCAAACCATCGTGATTCCCGAGCCGGACGGACCCGAACCACAGTTCACCCGTTTAGGTCGCCGCCTCGCCGCTTCCCACTCCCGAACCCTCCCCTCCCCCCTCCCGCCCGCCGCGTACGGCGCCGGCGGCCACGGCGAGGGCCCTCGTCGTCGGAGGCCCCCTACCACTGGCCTGGCGGGGCTCACCCGCCGCCCCCTCCTCCTCTCCCGAAGGCCGAAGAGGCGCGCCTCCATCATCAGCAGGTCAGTTTGGGGGTGGTGGTGGTGGTGGTGGTGGTGGGCGTCGTGTACCTGCGTATCTGTGGACGCGTGGGGTGGCCGCACCCGGTGGGAACCAATGCCGGCCTAGAGCCGTCGGTCGCGCGCGGCGCGGATGCGGCTCTTAGGGGTAGAGAGGGGGTAGGGCGAGGCGGATTGGCTCGATTTGTTCGCGCATCTGTTCTTTTGTTTTTTTTCCCTCGCTCATAGAAATAGCGGGGATGGATAGTGTTCCGCGCCCTTCTGAGTTGGGGGGCACTGCGTATATTTGTCCAAGGTTAAACTGATAGACGCGAGGATTTATGAGATGGCTAGGGATTGCTTATGCGGACGCTGGTAGTGGTAGGGTTCGGAATCGATTTGCTGCTTTTTCGCTCTCTGTGAAATTTTAGAATTTTCTACATTAGAAATGCCATGAAGCATGAAAGAAAAGAAAATCTTTAGTCGTATATGCCACTTGTAATTCAGAACTGTATATATATATTATTGAAATGCGCATGAGTTCAATATCATCGTGAAAGAGATATTCATTGGCTGCTTTTATGAACTTCATGAGAAGCATGTTTCAGTTTGTGGCTTTTAGGGAAATGTAGGTCTGGAGCCAATTTTTTTGATCGAATTGAACATGTCCTGTATGATATCGACTAGTACGTGCATCCTAGTAGCTTATATGAACTAAGGGAGAAAGCAATTATGGGCCTGCTTGGGAGCGATTGCTGTGGCTTTTGGGGCTGCAGCGGCACAGCGCAGCCGCTTGGCTGCATCTCCAAAAGGCCACAGCCATTGCATCAATCAGCTGTTGCGGGAGAAGCTGGCTAGCTGCTGCAGCACAGCGACAGGCAGCTGAAATGAACAAGCCCTATGGTTCAACCAATGACAAAAAATGCCCTCTAGGAACTATGTTTACTTTTATGTGCAACAGCTTCTATTTATTTACATTGATAAGCAAACATCACTGCAGACTTGAAATATTTCTTTTGCCTTCACTAAACAACTTCTTCCTTCTATTTCCTCAGCTTTTCATAGCAAAGACTAGCTTGAATAGATTATTATCTGCCAATGGCAAGGGAACCAAGTCCTGAAATTGATGATGAACTATTCAATGAAGTTTATGGGAAGGCATACAGTGGTCCAGTTGCAACAACTACTAACAATGTGACGCCTAGAGTGAATGATGAGAAGAGGCCCCTCGAACGTGAAAAGTCAGATGAGGAAGATGGCCCCCCAGATCCCAATGCTGTCCCTACTGACTTCACTAGCAGAGAAGCCAAAGTCTGGGAGGCTAAAGCTAAAGCTACAGAAAGGAACTGGAAGAAGAGAAAGGAGGAAGAAATGATTTGTAAAATATGTGGAGAATCAGGTCATTTTACTCAGGTAGTCTTTTCTCTGAATAAATTACAACTGGCATGCTTGTTGATTGAGATAGACACATAATGCATTACTAGACTTTGTTTATCCACTTGCAGTATTTTCAACTCTGCAGTAAGTCAGTAACGAGTTACACTCAATATTGATACTGAATTTAACAGTTAGCATATTCAAAATGGAGATTGCTCTGTAAAAAGATTAGTCTGCTGTAGTGTTGTATCAACCTTTATTTTTTATCTTGAATCTAAAAAGTATATTATAACAAAAATAAATTCTGTGACTACTATTATTTGTCATTTTCTTTTCCTTTTTCCTTTCATCTTTATTTATCATTTTTCAGACCTTTCTCCTTTTTCATTACTCTCAATGGTGAATTTGGACTTAAAAACTTTAATACAAAAGAAACATGTTCAGTAGTACATCCACAAGTTCATTCATTCTCCTATCTTTCATAATTTATATGCTAATCTGATTGCTCAACCAAACATTCGTGCACTGGATACCTTAAATTCATTGAGTCTCTTTAAAGCACCTCAGGGAGTTGCCTCTATACATCTTGACATTGATTACAGTTTAGAGACACTGTAGTGTTTTATGTGCATTGTTTGTGCATACTTATAGGCCCTGTTTCTTTCAGCTTGGGATTATTATAATCCAGATTATTGGGAGTAAGCTGAGAGAAACAGACAACTTATTGAAATAACTTATTATAATCTAGAGCCCAGCCTATTATAATCTGATAAGCTCATTTAGGTGAGCTTTTTCCAGATTATTGGGTGAAAAATTACCCACCATACCACCCCACTCCCTCTTTAGACTTGCAAACCAAATAATCTAGGCTCTAATAATCTAGGAAAGAAACAACTAACCGCTTATTCTACTACAGATTATAACAATCTATCTTATAGTAATCTGACTCAATAATCTAGATTATAATAATCCCAAGCTGAAAGAAATAGGGCCTCAAAATTTGTATTTCAGCTTACAATTTTTTCCCTTTGGAACAGGGTTGTCCATCCACGCTGGGAGCAAATAGGAGAAATGCAGATTTTTTTGAAAGAGTTCCAGCAAGAGATAAACAAGTCAGGGATCTATTCACTGAGAGGACAATAAGTCAGATTGAGAAGGATGTGGGGTGTAAAATAAAAATGGATGAGAAGTTCCTGTTTGTCAGTGGTAAAGATAGGTTAATACTAGCGAAAGGTGTCGATGCTGTTCATAAAATCATTCAGGAGGGTAAAGGTAAAAATACTTCAAGCAGTCCAAAACGGGATCGTTTGAGATCCCCTGTGCGAACTACCAGTGATATTCGCCCAAGGCACACTGATTCTAGATGGTCACATAGTCCAAGAAGTGCTCCGCGCTCTCAAAGTAAAGGATATTATAACGAAAGGCCTCTAGATGGCCGTTCACATGATGATATGCCTAAGTTTTCGAAAGAATCTCCACAAGGTAGGGCGCTCAAGCACACTCGTCTTATCATTGTTGTATCGGCAAATATTAGGAGCCAGGCATTTTAGACGATTTGAGATAAAGAAAATGCCTCTGATCCCTTTTTGTTGGTTACCACCATCTATGGTAATTTGTTTGGTTCCTTTTGCAGCTAGAGGTAAGTTCAAGATTTATGTGCTCAAATGACTCAATGTATGTCTGGTTATGATCAGACAAATTTACTTGAATACAACAAGTTCCATATCGAAAGGTTTTCCAGACATCTGACTTGGATGGCCTGCAATTTGTGTATTGCATCTGGCATTATTCCTCCTTTCAGTGTACAATAAAGTCTACTTAGGTGTCAGTCGTACTATCTTAGTCATCTGGAACTAAAATGCATGCCTTGCATGTTCTTCCTTTTGCTGAAGCTTCTGCCAACTATGGAGCTAAAGGCCGTCCAGCCCAATCAAAATCTCCATGTCAACCCTCATATATTGATGATTCCCTTAGATCAAATGATGGGAATAACCAATATGCAGCTACATATGTGCCAAATACCTGGAGCACTGAGACGCGTGGAACCGATTCCCGATTAAGCCTTAAGTTTGACCTGCCTTCCTATCCTCAAACTTTGGAAGAGCTTGAAATGGAGTTCAAAAGAGAAGCTATGGAGTTAGCTATAGCCCGTGACAAAGAGGAGGATGAAGAGAACTACAAGCATCGTGAGGTAAATTCTTATTGGCATATTGAATAGCTCATCATTTCTCTGTTAGGTAACTTATTTTCAATATAAAATGGTCACTGGTGGTATCTGATTGAGAGTTCTTGTTATTTTTTATTAACATGGTGGTTTGATCTGTCCATGATAAGAAGAGTTTGCAACACATGTATTCTTTACTTTCTTTTATAAGAAAACCGATAATTTCAGGGTCTATTTTGTGTAGCCACAGCATGAATAGTATTAGAACTATATGTTTCAGTGTTTCTGTCATTGGCTCATTGCAAATAAGAATGTTCTTTAGTTTACCCAATGATTGCTTAAATTTGGCATGTAGTATATTTTTGCCCTTCCACTTCCAGCCTTTCAGTTGGAAACAGCTGAACTTCCAAACTCTTACTCTGTTCAATTTATTTTTTCAACATTTTTTGTTTTTATAACTGCATGATTAATATGTGAAGTGAAATCTGGAGTACATCAATCCACATTCCACATAATATTTGAGGGTCCATTGTGTCTTTTATTTTTAAAATTGTTGAGTGCACTCCATTGATTCCCATCATCATTTGCAGAATTTCCAGCAACTTAATTTGTGTGTATGAAACGTTGGAGGTTACTTCAGAACAACACAACCTAAAACACTTGTCATGATTAGTTATTCCTTTTGGTTGTTCTATGTTATAACATACTAACATTTCTGTCATTGATTTAATTGAGTTGTATTGACTGCGGCAGGCAACCTTTTCATATTCGGATAATTTTGTTAGCTGTGGCTTATGTTTTGAAATTAGATGTATTCACAAAAGGGTGTTGTGGCTTCAATTTCATAATTGCAGCGTGGTTGCTTTCTAACAACTTCCTTTTTATGTTGAAAATGTCTACCAAGTAACCCTTCAGTATTTCCTGATGTCATTATTATTTTCAATGTAGTCATTGAGAGAAATGAGAGAAAACCACATGAAGAGAGTAACAGCCATGAGGAGTATGCATTCAAGGAAGTGGGATGAATTTCTTGAACAAAGCTTTAAAAGGCACCAGCAAGCTCATCCGACTTCTTATGCCCAAACTTCTTATCCAGACTATGATCAGAGAGCTACACAATTTGCTGCTACTGGTCCACCAAATGACTCGAAGAGTGAATATCCGTATATTACTGATAGCTATTCAGCCCCAAGGCCTCATGCTGCATACAGCGAGTTTGAGCATGAGAGACATGATGACTTTGGGAGGACCTATGGGCGGTATTAGCTTTTGCCTAGTGGTGAGTTCAACATTCGTTTTAGCTTTTCACCATAAGTTGTGCAGTTTAAATGCATTTAGAGAGAGCCTCTTTTACGGTTTGAGAAACTGACTGACACAAAGGTAAGTCCTTGAGGTCCTGTTCCAGGTAAGAGTGGCAAAGTAGTTAATGAATTGCGAATCGCTACTTATAACAGATACGGACTTGGTAGCATCCATCTTACTAAGAGATGTTGATGGAATGTTATGTTACATTTTTTAGTACCTAAAGAGCGGTTCCCGGATTTTCAGGGCACCTATGTGAGGAATCTGAGTCAATGGTGTGGTACTGTCTTAGCAGCTTAGCGCCTATTTTCTGTCATGTAGTTTCAGAAGGTAAGAAATTTGGTATATTAGCAGTGATATGTGTTCCAGTTGCTCATTCTTTTGCAGTACCATCACAATGGGACTTGGAACTGTCAAAATGGATTTAGATAATGTATGTCTTTATCTATGTGGTCGATGAAACGGTTGATGTTATGAATGTTGTAAGTGTTAAAATAATGTTAGTTACAGCTTTCCCCTTTTTCTCCTGTTGAACATTCTTCAGCTAGATTGGTATGGTTTTTCTTTTCTGCTAGATTGTTTTTTCCCGGTTGATTTCTAGAAATATACTCATGTCGTGTTAGCTAATCTTATAAGGAAATTGGCATTCAGACCTGTTGAGTTGATATTTTTCTTTCTTTTTTGAGAAAAAGGGATCTATTGAGTTGTACTTTTCTTACTTTTCTACTGTAGTTTCTAGATGGTTCGGTATTCATGCAAGGTATTCGCATTCCCCAACTACTTTTTACTTGTAGGACACTAGCTTGTGCAATTTAGTTAGTTTAAATCCAATCAAACTCTACAAGTATCCAACTTGATTTTCTAGGGCATATCTTAATTACTCCGTGCAATCACAACAGAGTTCTGTGTTGGGTTACAAGCAATTGAACCCTTTTAAACTCATCAGATAACACAAATATCTAATGAGGTTGAACCTAGAAGAAACCATTTATGTATGTCTCCTCAGGAGTACCTCAACAATATTAGTTTGAAAGATGTTTTGTGAATATATTACGATTGAAAACAATGTTTAACTTTGTATTTTGGAGATCATGTCGGTCCCTCGGCGGCCCTAAAATTTACTTATCCATTGATGTACAAAGTTTAGTGAAACATTGTCAAATGGCAGGCAGTATTGTTGTCTTCTCAATTCTTGTTTTGTGATGGATGGAATTTTTAGTATTTTTTGAACTTCTGTTTTTTAATTTCAAAATAAACCTTTCTAAAATTTATTCTAAAATCTGAATCTTTTGGCCACGCCAAACAGTCATGCCACCTGCGGCGGGCGTGATAGTTTTGTTATTTATCCTACCATGCCAGTCAGGGTGGCGTGGTAGAACAATGTTGCCACGTCAGTCAGATCGGTGTGACCAAAAGGTTCCTATCTTAAAAATAAGTCTAGGAACGTTTATTTTGAAAATTAAAAATTAAAAAACACTCAAAATATAAAATATATCCGTGAAAGGAAGGCTTTATCAAATTTGATTGAAATTTTCTTTTTTTTGGCATGGTCTTTTCTGTACTGGTAATGCTATGCTAGGGCGTCTTTGTTAAAAAAAAATCACGTTTTCTCATGCGTGACAGTTTTCTTTCCTTTGATTATAACTTTGGAGGGGGTATATTAATTCCTGTTTGTTCTCGCGAGTTTTCTCCTTGTTTCTTTTTCATCGTTCTTTGGGTTGTAAGCATGTCGAATTGTCAATCTTGAAAGAGTAAATTACATGTTTGATATTTTTTTACCATGGTTTCACTTTGGGCTATCCTTAATATAATGTTTTCACCTTAGGCCAAATTTTATACCAAAACCTTTCACTTTGGGCGTATGGCCCATAGTCAGTCTCTCAGAGCCAATCTCTCATCACTATCTGATCATCTCCAACTGTTTTCATCGATGGCTGTAGACCACGAAGACTACGACGCCTAAGAGAGCTCGAGCATATATAACAGAGCTGACGCCCGCGCATCTCAAGCTCGTAGTCTAGCCAGCACGGGGTCAACCTCCCGCCAACACGGCGTCACGCTAGCTCGACTTTTGTTCCCGTCGTGCCGGCCGGTGATTAAAATCAAGCTCGATGTCCGGTGGCTTGATCTCGACTTCCGCCCACACTCGCACGCCATTCCCTGGCTTGATTTCAATCTCCGCCGATGTCGTCCGCTGGCTCGACCTCGACTTCCGCCTGTTCCCGCATGCATGCATTTCCCAGTCTCGATTTCAATCTCCGCTATCGTCATGCCCCGTCTTGACCTCGAACTCTCCCATAGTCCCATGCTGGCGTGCCACCCTCGGCCTTGACCTCTGCCGTGTCTCCCCCCGCTCGACGTCGACCTCCAGGCACCAGCAGGCAGCAGCATCCACACGCTGTCCTTGAGCTCGAGCTCCTATCCACCACCCCAGCTTGACCTACGCGGCTCCGTCGCCCCAGCGTGCCGTCCTCAAGCTCGAGCTCTTCTCCGCCGCCGTCGGCCCTCGCTAGCTTGACTTCGTTCTTCACCTACGCCCGCACGTCGTCCCCGAGCTAGAGCTCCTCTCCGCCGTCGTCGCACCTCGCTTGACCTCAATATTCAGTAGCACTAGCACGTCATACTTGGGCTCAAGCTCCTCTCTGCCGTCCCGGCTCAACCTCGATCTCCACGGCTACTCCGATGCCCGCGCGCCATCCCGGAGCTCAAGCTCCTCTCCACCACCGTCGCCTCCGTGACTCGACTTTTGCTGTACCTGGACGTGCACGAGCTCCTCTTTGCTGACGTCGCCTAACATCGACCTCCACACGAGTCTTTCCAGTCCCAAGCTCCCCATGTTGCCCCCAAGGCTTTAGCGTGATCTCTGCCCACACCGCCATGAGATGGTTGGGTGAAGTTGGAAAGAGATCGACGGTGTGGTAGGAGATGAGTCAGCGGACTCGCTGGTTCCTTCCCAACCGAGAAGTTTCCTTTTTTTTTCCCCTCAGCCACACTGGCAAGTGGGCCACTGGTCCAAAGTGATATATTTTGGTAATAAAATCTGGTGTAAAGTGAAAGCATTCAGTTAATGGTGGTCCAATGTGAAACCATGGTTAAAAAACATGGACCAATATATGCAATTTGCTCATCTTGAAAATACCCATATATGCATGCATGTAGCGATGGATTGACAATCTTGAGCACTCTCCTTTTGTACTTAAAACGTGAAGGGTACTTATCTGAACTACTTTGATATGGACCTTTTTCTTTTTTTTAAAAAAAAAAGCTAGATCTGAACACTTATCCAAAGTATTAGCTGGAGATGAACATGAACTCGACACTCCGGATGCACGCATGCCGTTGGACGTAGTCGTCCTTGGAGAAATGCATCGCAATCTTTGTCGTGCTGTGTTCGTGTCGCAATAATTTCGATTTCGGGATATCCTTCTGCTCGTATCTGTTTATCTACCTTTTTTATTCTTTTATGCCTGTTGCTTCATCCTGCTGAACTTCCATCAACTAGACAAATTGGAAACGAAATCATTAAATTTGTGCCGAGCCGAACGCTCCTGCAAATTGGTTGCATAGCCACATTTACATGATATACACACGGGTGCCCTTCTGTAGAAAGTTCAAAAAGCGCACGGGTTTACCCTTAGTTATCGTTTACTGAGTGTAGAACTACTGTACCATCCAGTGTGAATTGGGAGAAAAAAATATTTGTGTGTTGTAGTACATTACAGCGCATACTGCTAAATTAAATAAATTGCGCTATAATGTACTAATAGTACATTATAGCGCGCGCTGTGCATGATTTAACACTAACAGAGTGTTTTTTTTAAAAAAAGTAAATTGCACCCTTCGCTAGGTAGAGCGAACCTTGATTCACTTTGCATCTAGTTAAACAAGTACTTATGTAAGGGTATATTAAAATAGGTATGTGAGTAAAATATGCATTCATAGGTGTGATGCACTCGCTTTTGAGTTTGCCTTAAAAAAGCAGCGTTTGTATTCTTATCTTTGTTTTAACATCAATTATGATTTTGCCCTACTTTTCCTACTGTCCCCATTTTCCTTAACAGAATCTTGTGTTTGCCCTATTCCGCGAGAGGAAGATTCAACGGTTTTAAAATTCATGTCAAGCATGTGTGCACTCTTTTTTTTTAGCTGAATAAGTAAAAAGTTCATGTTAAAATTTTGATGTCAAAACAGAGGTAAAATCATAATTAAAGTCCTCATACAAGTAGGGCCAAATCTGTTAGGGCATACATAAATTTTAACATCGTTTAGTCCTCTTAAAAAGAACGAGGGCATAATAAGTTTTTAAAAAATGAGGACAAAATCACACAGTTGAAGAAGAAATAGTAGAATTACAATTGGAGATAAAATCAGGTGTACGAGTGCAATCCCCCTCCCCCACCCCAATACCCCAAACACACGGAAAGAAAGGGGAAGAAAAAAAAAAAAGCTTACCAAGCCAGGGTTTTCCAAACCGCGTCCCGGTGGTAAGCACGGTTACCGCGCGGTAACCGTGGTAACCGTAAAAAATCGTACAAAATTTATCAAAAATTTAAATTATTTTTTAAATTTATTTAAATTTAAGAAGGTTACTATTGTATTTATATTACTGTTCCCCGCGGTAAACCCTGCCTGGAGCCAATTGCTTGGTTAACAACATGCGCAAGCTCCCAAGCATATGCCATATTGCCATCTGCTGTTACGTGTGATAACCCCATGACTGCCTTTGAGCTAAATCGTTTGTTCTGTTTAATGCCATTGGCAATGCTGCCTGTTACGTGTGATAACCCCATGATATTTTATATTTACACAGAGTACGATCCATAACATATGTCTTGACGTGCTTATTGAAAATAACATGATGCTTAATTTTGGGAGGGAAAGGAGATGTTGATGCTAATTGTTAATTAAATGATTACACAAATCTTCATTAGTACAATTTGAATAGAGTGTTGTGCGGATATCTGATGACTACATCTGCATGTGGGTATCTCATGGACCACATGGAATAGGCCTCAACAATGTTGATGCTGACTAAATAATGTTTGACTTTATCAGTGATGCCATTTTTGAAATAATTAATATTGCTCCCAAGTAACAGACTAACCACATATATAGTGCTATTTAACGGACTTGAAAGCGATGCTCTAGTACAATGTCATGCAAAAGTAATTAACTATGTGTATTTTTTTTATTATATAGAAGACGCATGCGCACACATCACTTAAGACAGTATGTTCAATGGGACGGAGGCTAGTAGGTAAATCCTAACCTTACTTATATACTCCATTCGTCAAAAAAAAAAACTAACCTAGAATAATATGTGACTTCTTATAGGACAACCAATCTGAATAAATCTAAATTTAGGTTGGTTTTTGTAAACAAAAGGAAGTATGTATTCTTATTGAACGTGGTTTGGAATCTTTGGAGGACCGAGAACAGTTTTGTTTACTTAAATTGAAACCCATGATAAGCTTTGTTCCGAGCAACAAGCTAATGTTAGCGAAAATTAAGTTATATACCCGACTAAGTTTAAATTAATTTTATGGACAAGACTAGGGGTCAAACACCCGACCTGAGCCTCAAAACAAGGTGATCAAAATATTAAGTTATACATTTTGAAGAAAAAAAGTTTAGTTGTTAAAACATTCGAAACAAAATATGTGAGAAATCACCGCGAATGAAACAATTATAAATACACGGATTGAACATCTTTATAAGGGAAGCAACATAAAAATGAATTAAAAAAAAGTAAAGCACAGCTAAATCCAAATCAGAAACATGTTGCTCACATGTATGAAGAAACATTGAATTCTGATTACTAAAACATAAAAATAGATTAAAAATTAAAAATGTGAAATACAATATAATCTCTATCGGAACATTTCGCTCTCGCTATGAAACATCAAATTTTATTGGTTGAAACATATATATTTTTGTTATTAAAATATAATATGAGATCTTGTTTAAATACATTAGTGTAATCTTATCACGTACCATATAAATAGGTTAGGAGAAGAAAAATCATTAAACTCACTTATTTGGACCCTCTCCTTGTTACATGCATGTATGCTTGCGGACTTGCAGATATCGATAAATAAAAACAGAGTTTAGTGAATGCATTGCTCATGAGTCATGACTCGTGATGGCGTCTGATTTTTGTTTTATCTTGCAATCCAGCGCATGGTCATAGGCATTTTCTTTAATTTTATCAATAGATAATTAAGAGTACTATTAATTATTTTTTAGAAATTTTCTTCAAATCAAAACCCCAGAGTCCGGACCAAAATGAGCTATATAAAGTCTTTAATAAACTATTTTCGTGTTTATATATTTAATTACACGATTATGAGTATCATAAGAACTGTGTGAAGCAAGTTCTTCCTAGCTGTTGTTATGGTAACTGAGTTTGCAGTGTATGCATGTGCGATACATCGCCGGCGACGACGACCGGATCGAACACCTGTTCAACGACTGGCTTTGATGGTCGCCGCCGCCGCCGCGGCGGCGGCCACGACGCCTTCGTTGCCGGCGAGCATCATGTACTTGTCCTTCCTGGTCATCCCGGTGAGCTCGAACCCGAGCGCCTCGCCGATCTGTCGCTGCACCCGGTTCGCGACGCGGATGCTGTCGCCGCCGTCCTCCGCCGCCGGCGCCGGCGCCGCGCGGGGCAGGAACTCGACGCGGTACGACGGCTTCGGGTTCATCATGAAGTAGAAGGGGTCCATCCACTTGGCCGCCGGCGTCGTCGACGTGCCGTGGAACATGTCGACGCGGGCGTCGAGCGCGACGGGGTTCACGTCGGCGCCGAGCTCGGCGAACAGCGGGCTGAACCGGAGCAGGTAACCCTCCCGGCACGTCGTCCCCTCGGGGCACACCACCAGGTCGCCGCGCGCCAGCAGCGCCGCCATGCTCCGGCGATCCTCCTCCCGGTCGCGCGTCAGCCTCGCCGTCCGGATCGGCGCGATCATCTCCGACACCCGGCTCAGGCTGTACGTCACCGCGGTCACCGGCTTCCCCAGCGCCGCCGCCACCACGATCGGGTCGAGCAGCGTGCGGTGGTTGCACACGTAGAGCCTCCCCCCGCCGCCGCCGGCGGCGGCGTCGTGGCCGGCGCCGACGAGGCGGTAGTGCACGCCGGTGAGCGCGCCGACGAGGAACGTGGCGCGGCCGTAGGGGAGGAGGGACAGCGCGATGATGCGCGACACGGCGAGCGCGACGCCGAAGGGGAGGTAGGCGTACATGGCGAGCGCGGCGGACGGCGTCGGCGGGAAGGCGAGGCGGCCGTCGTGGAAGACGAGCGGCTTGACGCCGCCGCACTCGCCGCCCGGCGGCAGCGGCCGCCACCGCCGCTTGTCAGCCTCAGTCGCAGTGAAGGTTTCCTGCAAGGATTGGACACATGCACGTTAATTAATTGACATTAATTGTGTACACGTCACGCTCTGTGATAACAACGGTGTTAACTAAGTAACAGTAGTTGATTGCAACAATATCGAATCAAAGAAAAAACTCTTTAAATTATTATTAGGAGCATGTATATATAGAAAGGAAAGAGTATTCATTCTTTAATCACTAATTCACATTAACTACTTATGCATTGTTTCGCAAATGATATTAATTAGTAGCTTTCTTTTCTGGGGACATATTAATTAGCTTTTTTATCCCTGGGACATTAATTAGATTTAATTATTTTTCTAGGGACATTCGTTGGCCCTTTTCTTTGCTAGGGACATCAGTTAACAGTACTTTATAATTGGATAGTGCGAAAAGGATGTTCACCAAATTGGAAAAGAAAAACAGAGAGTAGCCAATCGTGGAGGTCATCTACTCATCTTTTAAGCAAATTAATGAGGTCGGCATGTGTCGCTTGCTGCTTAATTTGTCACTTACTCCTATTTTGGTACTACAGTGTTTAGGGAAAATACCATGTGATGTCTACAAGGAAAAATACCAAAAGACACAGATCGACTTTTTTTTTTCTCACGTCCATCTGCACCTATTTCATGATACAAAATCCACGTGAGCACACGACGAATACAAAATAATTAAGGTGCTGGCATACACATGGATATCAAAATGAATTTTTGAAAGAAAAACAAAAAGAAGACAAGAAGATGACATCACAACGCTATCCCTATAAGTTGTACTACCTAATTGGTATAAACACCAAAGCAGATATCTCGAGATGAATAAATGAAAAATGTAGAGTTCGGTTGAGATGCACAATGGTGCAAATGCAACTTTCTCTTATCTCCATTTAATTTGAAACTAATTACACCCTTTGTCCTAAAATATATGACGGCTTCGTACAAAAGTAAAATAAACAGAAAGAGTACTCCATCTATCCCATAAAAACTTTATTTCTAGATATAGTGACTGGCCGTCTTATTTGAAAAATTATGCAAAAAGTTAGAAAAAATAGTTGCATAGAAAGTACTATTCATATTTCATAATCTAATAAAAATAAAAATACTAATCATAATTTTTTTTAATAAATAAGATGTGCTGCGAAATGTTATATCCAAAAACTGAAAAATGGAGTTTTTTTTTAAGTATGGAGAGAGCAGTAAAAAGGAAAAGCTCAACGTAACTAGCTCGGCTCACCTTGCAGTAGTAACGCGAGAAGAGGTAGTGCACCGTGCCACCACTCCTCCCCTCTCCGACGAGCCCCACGGCGGCGCCGGCACCGTCGGCCTCGCCCTGATCCATCTCGTCGCCGAGCAGCGCCCGGAGCCTCCTCGCCGCCACCCGGGCCGCGTCGGCGTCATCCATGATCCCGGCGACGACGCCGGCGACCGACCTCAGCTCTGGCCCCACGACGGCGTCCACGCCGACGTGCTCCCGCAGGAACGCCTCCACCATCACCCGCGGGAGCGTCGCGCTCACGGCGACCGACCGCCGCGCCGCCCTCACCGCCTCCGCGCCCTCCGCCGCCGCCGCCGCCATGAGGAACCTCGGCATCACCGCCCGGCCCACCCTGGCCACCTCCCTCTCCTCCAGCCCCACCAGCGCCACCGTCGCCATGGCCCTCGCCCTCGCGCCGCCGCCGCCATCGCCGTCGCCGAGGAGGAGGCACAGAAGCGGGTAGACGAGCAGAAGCAGGAGGCCGCGGAGGAACCCGCCGGCCTCGACGGCGACGACCATGAAGAAGGTGAACGCGTCCACGGCCGGCAGCAGCAGCCACGCGTCCACGTCCACCACCACCGTCCGTCCGTACAGCCTGTCGAGCTCGAGCGGCGACGACGACGGAGGAGGAGGAGGAGGGACGTCGCTGCTTGCCGGCGGCGTGTTCCGGCCGCGGTGGTGGCGGACGGCGGCGGAGAGGCGGCGGAGGAGGAGGGAGGAGAGGGCGAGGAGTGGCTCGAAGAGTGAGGAGTAGGAGGAGGAGAGATTGGTCGGCATGGTGCTCGATCGAGAGCTAGCGTGCGTTGCCCTAGTCTCTGTCTGGGTGTTGCATGTAGGAGTACTTACTTGTCTTCAACCTCGCGTCTCGTAGTCGTTGGCTGTCCGTGTTAGATTACCTTCTTATATAGACGCCGATCATTTTCAGCGTGTAAAGTAATGGCATCTTTTAATTGTGTGTAATCTATCCGTCACTAAATATTTGACGCCATTGACTTTTTTACACATGTTTGATCATTCGTCTTATTCAAAAAATTTAAGTAAATTTTAATTCTTCATTTGATTCATTGTTAAATATACACTACTTAAGTTTTTGAATAATATTCACAAAAAAATTTTAATAAGACGAATGGTCAAGCATGTTTAGAAAAATTAATGGTGTTAAATATTTAGGGAAGGAGGGAGTATGTGGTGTACTTACATACATGCATGACGTTGGATCATGACTCATGAGACGGCATTTCAATGATCTTGCGTACAGAAGTTCGTAGAAAAAAAGTACTACGTCCGTTCTAAATAGATGATTTTTTTAGGACTTCAAAATTTGTATGTATCGCACTGCTACATAATTGATTTCTCCAGATAAGAACCATCCTGACGGTTCAAGAATCGTTTGTGAAAATAAACATATTTCGCAGACGGGTCAGTTGAGAGGCCTGCATGCCACAAACCCATCATCAGGTTGAGCTCATCCTTTAAATATTTCAGTTCCCCCTCTCTCTCTCTCCCCTCATCCTCTCCACTCCACCTCTCCTCCACTTCCTCTCCACCTTATCTCCATCACCTCATCCTCGTCCTCCTCCCTCTCTCTTTCTCGGCAGAAGCTCAGCATCGATGATAGTTCGGTGTGCGGAGGCAGGTCCGATAGTGTGGCACACATCGATGTCGGCAACGGGGACGGCCACCGGCGGTGGATCTGCCACTGCCAGCGATGGGAGGGGTGGATTCGCCTTCGTCGGCCTCGGAGCAGCCAACCTCCCTCACTTCTTCCTCTTCATTGTTGATCCAGCGGCGGCGACCACGGGTTGTGTGGATACACCGCCACTGGACTTGAGATCGGCCGGCCTCCCTTGTCTCTCCCTCTCTGTCGTCCATCTGGCGGTGACGGCCTTGGGAGATCCGCCACCGCCAGACTCGGGAACGGCTGACCTCCCTTCGCCTCTCCTTCTCCATTGTCAGATCTGGCGGCGGTGGCCTCAGGAGGATCGGATCTGCCACCGCCAGACTTGGGAGCGGAGGCAGCGGGCTTTGACTGAGCGGATCAATTATACTCCCTCCTTCCCTAAATGTTTGACGCCGTTGACTTTTTTAAACATGTTTGACCGTTCGTCTTATTCAAAAACTTTTGTGAAATATGTAAAACTATATGTATACATAAAAGTATATTTAACAATGAATCAAATGATAGGAAAATAATTAATAATTACTTAAATTTTTTGAATAAGACGAACGGTCAAACATGTTTAAAAAAGTCAACGACGTCAAACATTTTGGAATAGAGGGAGTAGTAGCGTGTGTGGTTGCCAAATGACAAATGGGGTCCAAATTAACAGAGGTGCCGATGATGGATAGTTCATCGATTACAGTTGCTAATTACCCCCCTCCCCCCAATCTTATTTAAATTATACTTGCTATGTTCAAATCACTTATTGTTTCAGCTTTGTAGTAAGTCACATAGTTAACTTTATCGTCGGTTCTAAAAATTTATATAGTTTAACACTAGACTCCTTCCGTCCCAAATATAGATACATTATACTAGGTTGCGTCTAATCCTCTCTTAGGTTGCCATATTTTGAAACGGAGGAGGTAAGATTTATGTTTTTAGTAACCATGATATATAATCCACATGCTGTCAAACTATATCACTTTTTATAAATTGATGGTAAAGTTAAAAGTATTTGATTTAGGACAGAGTTAAATCGAGAAGTACGGATGGGGAACGTCGATTACTTGAGACTTGAGAGAGATCAATTCTGGGCCATGAAACTTAATCCCACCTTAGCTTCAGGTCAAATGTTCAGATCCCCAAGAGATTCAGCAACTATCTCTCTCTACATTGATCTGCGTGATTTCCACTGCAATTGTCTCAGTCCTGCAGGTGCGTGTTGTCCAGTGTGGGCAGCGGCTGATCCGAGCAGAGAATGAACACATCAGTTGGACACCATGGCTGGTGGTGTGATCTTGCTCGCTTTCACCGTCACCGAGCTGCGTCGTCCACCGCCAGCTCCGCCTTGACCCATCTCGCCAGGTTCGCCAAGAACGGCGTGTACACGAAGTAGCACGTCGTCGTCCAGCTCACGATCCCCTGCACGCAACCATGCTCAGCTCAGCTCCCACCAATGGCGGCCGCTTCAGGGAGTGAGAAGATGCGGGTGTTCTTTACCTCGCCAAGAAGCTGGACGTCGGCGTTGGGGTAGCTCCAGCAGTCGAACAACCTGCGCACGATGCGGCGGGCAATCGTTGGTGAGATCAATCAATCAAGCTAGGCGCGAGCTCGACGCGACGCCATTGATGGGGGGAAGAGAGAATCAAGAATGTGGGAGGTGGCTAGTAGCTATATATGTGTACTTGATCAGTGGGATCTCGGCGAGGGGGCAGGCGGTGCCGACGAGGCACGCGACGGCGAAGCCCAGCCAGGTGCCGTCGAGGAGCAGCCACGCGAGCTCGGCGCCGGCGAACAGCACGTACGCCTCCACGTTGCTGGGCACCCCCGCCCTGTACATCTCCGCGCTCGCCTCGATGAACACCGCCAGGAACCTGCACCGGCGGCGGCGGCGATCGGAGATCATTAGTCACCAGAGAAACGAATCATCAGTGGTGGCGAAGATGTGCACACAGCATGGACATGGACGAACACTAGCGACGCCGCCGTCTTCTGCGGGCTCCCGGTGGCCTTCGATCCGCCCGCCGCCGCCGCCGGCGGCGACACCCTCTCGTCCAAGAACAGCTGGAGCATCCCGACGGTGGAGTAGAACGCTCCGAGCAGCGGCGGCACCTGCGCCGGCACGGCGACCACGGTTCAGCAACTCCGGCGAAGAGCAGAGCAAAGATGCAAAGAATCGTTAATGGATGGAGGATGTGAACGCGTCGCCGGTCATCACCAGGATGTGCGTGTGGAGGGGGCCGACATCGACGGCGCCGTTGTGGTAGAGCTGGAGGCCGACGCGGGAGTGGATGCCGTCGAGGAGCGGGCCGAGGACGAACCCGGCGCCGAAGAGCGCGGCGGCGACGCCCGGCCATGCGCGTCCCAGGGGGCTACCGCCACCGCCGCCGCCGCCGCCGTTCCCAAGGGCGCGCGCGGGTGTGGCGGGCGCACGGGTGGGTGGTGTTCTGGGGCGGAGGCAGCGGAACGTGACGGAGGGCGGCCGCGGCGGCGCCGGCGAGGGGACCGGCACGGCGAGCTTGGCGCGCATCGGGTGTGTTATCCTGTGGGGCTTTACCAGTGCCACCCGTTGTAAAGCAGTACATCTGCCCACGGTTGATTTGGATCCAACGGTGCTCAGCTCCGGTACAGTTTTGCTAAAAAAATATGGTGCCAATTTTTTTTTTCGGTTTTGCTACTTCACATGCGCATATTTTTGGAGGGCTGCTACCCCACGGTATTCCGTTGCTCCTAGCAGTCACGGGATAACTAAAATCCCGAGAGATTTAATAAGCTTCATCAATTTCGTGTGGAGGCCCACGCTATCCTGCGATTCCACCATATCCAATCCTCGTATCTTGGGTAAGGTACCGAGGTGGTACCTGGTACATTGGTATCAACTGGTACCCTGGTATCGACTATCGACTGATACCTGGTACCCTGGGTATCGAGCTAATACTAAGTATCAGGCCTTGGTACCTGGGTATCGACTGATACCTGGTACCCTGGGTGTCAAGCTGATACCTAGGTATCAGGCCTTGGTACCTGAGTATCGACTGATAACTAGGTATCAGGCCTTGGTACTTGGGTATCAGCGTGATATCCCAAGAGAGAGGAGGAGGAGGAGGAGGAGTCGTGGGTCAGGGAAGTCGAGCAGCGGGGCGGCGGCGGAGGAAGAGGAAGAGAAGGCGATAGATCTGGTGCCTACCTTGTGCCATTCCGTCGCTCGTCGTTGTGCCTCGCTCCAAACCGCCGAACCCGTGGCTCCATCGACGCCGCCTAGAGCAGCTCCTCATCGCTCATGTTGTGCCAAGCGCTCGCCCCCGGTGACCGCGTCCACCGCTCCCCGACCGTAGGAGGCGCCAGCGCCGCCGAGGAGGAGGAGGGCGGCATCGGCCAGGAAGCTACCGACAAGAACGACGAAGAGGAGGAGCGCCTTGAGGAGCTTGATGGGGAGGCTTCTCAACGGCGGTCGTCGCCCGTGATGGTCAGGAGCTCCGCCGGCTGTCGTCCAGGTCGTCCGCGGGGGCCGATGGTGATTGCACCGTCGTCGTTGTCATCGCCGTCGTTGCCGCCGCCGCCGTCTTCGCCGCTGTCGTCACCGCCGCCGTCGTCACCGCCGCCGTCGTCACCGTTGCCGTCGTTGCCGCCGCCGTCGTCGCCGCCTCCGTGCTCATGGGTGGTAGTCACAGAGAGAGGGATCGAGTGGAGGGGAAGATAGAGAGAGAGAGTGAGTGGAGGGGAAGAGACACAGAAAGAAGGGAAGAGACGGAATACTGTAGGATAGATTTTCTCTATTTTTGGGCTCTGATCTTTCACTCTTTCGTCCGTAGGATCTTGGGCCAGGTGTCCTAATACAGTTGCAAGGACGATGACTGCTACTCCCTCCCTTTGAAGTCAAACCGCTTCAAGTTTGATCAAAATTATAGAAAAAATAGTAATATTTTTTATCCAAGATAAATTTATTATAAAATTATATTTAATTATTAATTTAATAAAATTAATTTGGTAATGTAAATATTACTATATTTGTCTATAAACTTAGTTAAATTTGAAACAGTTTGACTTTGACCAAAGTCAAAACATTTTATAACCTGAAACGAAATGAAATGAGTATAATTTTTAATCTCTTAAGGTGAGGCATCTTGTGTGCCAATTAAATTTGTACAACTACAACTTCTCAATATTTCTTGGCAAAAGCAGGCCTAGGGTCATGAGCTATGAAAATCTGTCTAGGAAGATACAGAATCATTAGAAAAGAGAGCTGCTGAGACTAATGATCAGGAAAAGGAACTTGATTTTGATTAAACTTTGTTTTGCCAATTTCTCATAATTTTCCCCTTTCTTTTGTTTTGCTGTTGTGTTATTGGCATGCTGACCTAGTTTTCAAATGTCATTCTTGCAGATAACCAACGTGGCTGCTCAATTGCCAATTTTCTGATTTTGTTTCTTTTGTTGAAACTGTATATCTCTCCTTTGAGATAACTTGCTGGTTAATTTGCGATTGCACAGATTGTTACCATGACATATTCCATATTCAGAAATTAGTACTGATTGTGTTCATTATATAATTCTAATATCTGAATCTAGTGTCATTTTCTTAAGATCAATCGTCAATGATGCCATATCATTTATAGCTTGGACAGCAAGGTGTGGAGGGAGGCCGGAGGACTAGGATCCGGCTCCTCTGACCTTAGGAGCAAATGGTAGAGACGCACAGTAAAATGAGTCTGATGTTACAGTATGCAATAGTGATATGCAGTTGTTTACTGTAGACAAATGTATTGTACCAGGGTACTATTCACGATATACTGTAGTATACTGTAGCGATTACTCTCGTTCGTTCGCTGTAGATCGGAGGGCTGAAAATACCCCAAAGTTATGGCAATGTGCTTGATCTCAATCCAGAGGGCTAGCCCCGACACCGTTTGAAAAATGCACTTGAGGGCGTTCAGTTTGTTACCAAAATCAACCATACCAAATTTTTATATTGCCATTCTCTAAAAAAATTGATATTGCCAAATTTTGATAAGACAACAAACTAAACAAGATTTTACCATCACAACTTTCACTATTGCTACCAACATTTGGTAATTCTAGAAACTTCTACTCACAAAACTATGCCAAAATTTTGTAATGTATCAAACTAAAGACCACCTTCATATATTAGGGCCTGTTTACATTGATATAAAAAAAACCTTACCAAATTTTGGCATTACCATTTTGGCAACTTGCCAAAATTTTGGCAGGATTTCTTATATAGTTACCAAAATTTGGCAACAAACTAAATGTAGCCACTTTTTTAGCAACTTTATCAAAATTTGGTAAGGTTGAAAATGGCATCAAAGTGAACAGGCCCTTAATCTTGCTAAATTTTGTCTACACCAACAAATGGTAAGGTTTTTTTTTTTTCAATGAACTGAACAAGCCTTGAGTTAGTATGAATTTAAGTTTTTTTTTTAAAAAAAAAAAGAAATAATGCAACTATATTCAGCCTCTCCATCAGTAGTGATTTTTTTGTGTTTCTTATTTCGACTCCGCTACTGACTACTGAGCAAGCAAAACAGTCAATTTTCTCATTTTTTTTTGGAATCCGTTTATTTGGGAGCTCATAGAACATGGCAAAATTTACTACAGGACACCGAAAGATTGCAGACTTTGCTATGAGACACCTGAAGATCGTGATCTTTTCATGGGTACTATAAATAGTGGTAATTAGCTGCTGCACATTTCTCCTATTATTTTATTATTTCCGGTTAAAATAGAGAGAGAAAGCGTTGTGTAAGTAACAAAATGCCCCTAAACACTGTTCTTCTTCCCGCTTCCAGCCGAGTAACAGAGGAGAGGGAGAGAGTAGGGCGTTGGTGCTCCGGTGGCCGGGGATCGGCTACGTTGGTGGCGGATGATGTTCTTGAGCGACGCGCATCCGGGGAGGGTGGTGTCAAGCAAAGGGGAGAAGGAGATAGCCGGAACAGCAACACAAAGAGCTCAGCTCCGGCTGGCTATGGTGGTGGCGGTGGTGGTCTGGCTCAGAGGTGGAGGGAGAGGGGAAAGGGGAAAACGGACTCTCCTCGGTGAGGCAAAGCCTATGGTGAAAGGGAATAGGAAGGGGAGCAACGGAGGAGGAGATCGGCTGGCGGGAGGCGGCAGTCGGTCATGGCAGCGGCTGCGCGGTGGTGGGCAACCTGGGATGCGGCTTAGCCACTGACTTCGACACCGCCGTCGCCATCCCCGTCGGATCCGCAACGGCGAGTTCAAGCGTTCAACGAGAGTGGCCCGATCCGTGCGGAGGTCGTCAGATCCAGTCGGCCGTCCACGCCGTCCATCGCGGTCTGCCCGTCAGGCCTCGCCGCGGCTCGTCGTCATCGCTCTACCCGCCGCCGGCGCGGCAATTCCATCCAACTCACGCCACCTGTTAGCAGCAGCAAGCCCTCCTTGTCGTTTGGTTCGTCCTCAAGCAGCAGAATTTTGGTTTCTCATCTTCAAGCAAGAAGCAAGCAGCCCGTGATCCAGCCCGTCGCTGCCCTCTCCGCTGCCCATCGTGGTGCCTGGATTCAGCGGCTGTTCGCTCCGCCCGACGCATGCATGTCGCTCGCCGCCGGGGCTGGGGAGCTGAGGGTCCAACGACACACAGAAAGAGAGGAAGAAGAAGAATAGAGAAAGAGAGATTGACCATAGGCAAACTTGTCTTTAACCAAAGTTTCTCTCTCCGTTTCCACCGAAAATAATAAAATAATGCGGCCAATGTCCGCCAGCTAATTACCACATTTTTTAAGTGACCACGAGCAAATACACGATCTTCGGGTATCTCACAATAAAGGGTCCAATCTTTCGGTGTCCTGTAGCAAATTTTGCCTTAGAACATACAAGAAATACAGAAAGGCGTATTATCATATGAGAATGAGCACAAGTGTCATATTCTGAAGGGTTTTATTTAGTTTGTCAGACTAACTGGTATTGACACGACTGATAATATATCTTGCTAATTGTTATATGTATCAACGAGATGCAGAGAGAGCAAACATTGCAGTCATTTTTGTGCCATTTGTAGAAGAAAACGAGCTGTACTGGGCCTGGATCAGCAGTTGGTATGACCAACAAAGAGCTTGGTCATGGCGTATACTTCACCTGCTAATGCAGTGCACGAATTGAACGAATTGAGAATAGAATTCAGTTATTCAGTTAGGTAACACTGTACCAAATCATGCAGTGCAAAACTATGTGCTAAACCGAGAGAAAAATTCAGACAGAGAAGGACAGAACATTGTGCATGCATAAAGGGCTATCCTTTTCACCTAAAAGCACAACTAGAATGTTGGATGAACAAACTGAAGAACTAGCAGATATTTCGATTTACAGCATTCGCCTAATGATTCTGTTCACCTAGAGTCCACACTAGCAGAGCCCCAGAACAACCAAACCCTTGTCACAACCTTTCTGTGACCCACCAGCAAAAATATCCTTGCAAGAACAGTGCAAATTCCTTGCAAGAAATCCAGATTTACCTGAAACCTCTAAACAAACAACTTAAAAGCTCACTATAAGTAGCTCCTCCTTGAGCATCATTCCAAACCGCCATTGGGAGCTGACGAGCCAGTAGTAGCCAATGGCTTCCCTCCTGCTGCTGCTGCGAGCAATCGTCATCGGCGTCGACGTCGAGGAGAGGCAGCTCGTCAGCGGCGCGAGGGAGGCGGCGGAGGAGGCGGAGAGGTCTTGTTCGAAGCATCCGGCGATGCCCCGGCGATGCGGCTTCTTCTCCGACAACGATGTGGAGGAAGAACGGTGGCTGGTCTCATGCCTGCGGTGGCCTGGAGTCGATCGCCAGGCAGCTTGGATGCAAACGATCTGATCAAACTTATCCAGACAAGCATATTTTTCAGGATAATATATATAGCCGTGTGCTTGCCTATCGAATGGAGATTTGCTGGACCTTCCCTATTAATGTAATTCTGTGTGAAAAAAAAACTTTGATTATTTTCCGTATGGTCAGTGCAAATTGTAAGCTCGGTATGTTGCTTCTAAGATCAAGAGAAAGCATAAGGCTATTGCCCCTTATTGTAGGACCGAGCTCCTCTTACGTAAAATCAGAGGGACGTGGGTCCCTGACATGTGGGGCCCACCTTCATGGGCCCATACGTCAGTGGCCATGTCCCTCTGACTTTACGTCAGATGAGCCTAGTCCCTTATTGTAGGCAAAATTTGTCAGGCTGATGAGTGATGCAATCTTCCTGATTGCTGACGCACAATTGGCACTGTGAATTGGCCAAAATCCCAGATTATAGAACACGCCTTCTACAAATTTAAAAAAGTTGGTTGGTAAATGGAGACCAAAATTGAAACCTCAGTAACTAGGTTTAAGTGTAACATATCTTATGGAAGCATAATGTTGATGGGCTAGAATCCCTGCCCATCCAGGTTTCCAGCCCATTCAATTACAGACCTGACAGTGCCAAAAGGAGGCTGGACAACACAATTTTTTTTTTGAACGAATCGGCAAGCTGCCAATTTCATTGAATAGAGAAGGAGTAAACTTTACGAGTAAGAAAAACCAGGCCCAGGACCTTCGGTCCTACTGAGCTAAAAATAAAAAGCAAGCCAGCTACCAAGATGCCTCGCCCCCGCCCGAGACCATGTTTTGGCCTCCTCTTTAATTTTGGCCAACAGACTTCCTGTAGATAGCTCTTTGTGCTGGAAAATTCTACGATTTCTCTCGTTCCAGATTTCCCAGTTGACCAGAAGTGTTAACGTGCGGAGTGCTTTCTTTGGGACTTCCTTCAAGTTGGCGGTGGCCTCCCACCACTCTAACACCGATTGAGCTGGTTGCCATTGTCCAGGGTTCAGTTGACCACACCTAGTCCAATCAGATAACGCCGCCCAAATTTTCCTGGTGTATCTGCATTCTGCGAGGAGGTGGAGAGCAGTTTCTTGGGTGTGTCTGCATAAGGGGCAGAAAGAGTTGTTCTGCCAACCCCTGGTTGCCAGTCTGTCGGAGGTCCAAACTCTATTTTGGATGATCAACCAGGCAAAGGTCTTGCACTTGCGCGGTGCCCACGGCTTCCATATTAGGATGTTAAAGTTGGTGGCAGTAGTACCTAGGAGCTGCGCTTTGTAGGCCGACGTCGCCTTATATTCACCGTGGCTAGTGAGCTTCCACACTATCTTGTCCTCCTCATTCTCTGTGAAATGCACGTTGTGCACTGCACTCCAGACATTGATTAGCTGGCTGACCAGCTCCGTTGTCCAGCTTGAGGCTGGAGGAAGGTCTAGATCGAGCAGCCACTGGTCTGTGGCTGAGGTCTGTTGTAGCGTGCTGTTCTTTTTCTTGGAGGCCACGTAGATCAGGGGAGCTACATCCTTTAGTCTTCTCCCTTCGGACAACACAATTTTAACTACAAAGAGGGATCACTTCCTAATAGGAGCATTTTAAGTGAAAACCAGGCTCCCAGTTCACTAGAGGTACAGGTTCCACTGCATATGAGAGCATTCTCACAGCTAATATAAACCCATTTGTAGAGAGCAATAGTAAAATTCATTGTGTGTTTGAACTATTGCATAGCCGGCATGAAGTTTCAACATATGGCACCTTCAGATTAACAAGCAATTCAACCCCAGTCTACAAAAGGAAATGGAGGATAGCCGCCTTCAGGAGGTGGCCGCAGTGATGGAGGCAAGTTGCCCCATGAGGTGTGACCCCCTAGAATGTTCCCTGTAGAAAAAAAAGAGAGAAAGAAATCAATTAGATATTACTATCAACAAGAAACTCGCTAGAGTGAGATCTGGTATAAATACTTCAAAATATACTAAGGCCGAGTTTAGTTCCAAATTTTTTCTTCAAACTTCCAACTTTTTCATCACATCAAAACTTTCCTACACATACAAACTTCTAACTTTTCTGTCACGTCGTTCCAATTTCAATCAAACTTCCAATTTTGGTGTGAACTAAACACACCCTAAAACATATGCTACCCTTGCAGCTTTTGCATCCCAGAGCATCAGAATTCATTGCTTAGGGCAAGGCTTTTGAGCACGCTTCTCATGAATTCAGTAGTTTGACCACAGATTCTAGGGTAAGCCAAACTATTTAAATGTCATAGTATCTAGCCCCTCATTCATCAATAAAAGAGACCAACCGACAGACAGAGATGCAATCAAATTGCCTAGAAACATCGCACCACATTAGTAGCACCAACCATTGGACCTACATGGATAAAGGAGTACATCCAATGATTGCATGGCAACCTGGCAGGTGCAAAGTGTCCTATTCATGGCATGACAGGTGACTGGATGGAAAACATGCTGAATAAATAGAGAAAACCATTTTTTTCATTCACTTCTATCCCCATTTTACATTATCTATACAATAATGTTTCACAGGTCCAATAGCTGTGGCATGGCATGCTACAAAAGCAACCTACCTAAAATATGCTATGAATGCACGTTGGACCTTACTATATTGCAACAAAAAAAAGGCGAGAGTAAAGGTAATATATAGAGTCCATTTTACGACTCGTTGCGGCAGCTATGGTCGAGAGTCAAGACATTAAGTTCATATTTTAATAATGATGTGCTTGACTAACATATAATAACTACCAAATGTCTCCATTCATTGATTTAATCCAAGCTGAATGGAGAAAGTTATGTAAGAACTAAAAACCAGATCCTAAATTAATTAGAACAGAAAACGAGAAGTTGTGTTGGAATAAAATCCAATCATCAGTTGGGAGGAAGCAGTGAGAGCCATTCAATTTTCTGCACTACTCCAGCTAGCTGTAACAATATTATTTTTTGCTGAGTGTGCCATAATCAGATCACCTGAGAAAGAACTTCCATCTGCTGCCTGATATCCAACAAAATTGGGTTGACTTCCTTGAATATTAGACTGCTGCGCCATTGGTCCAGAGACAGGGCCTGGATAATAAAAGGGCAAGTCAGAACTTAAGTCCTATCCACAGTTTTTAATCTAATTTAGAACAACGTGTTCTAAGAATTATCTTATAGAAATAGGAACAGTGATTGTCGTAAATTTGTCGTGCACTCATAATAGTAGTAACAACTGATAAGGAAACTCAAATATGCGGATAGTACTATAGGCTACTAATTTCATGAAAGTTGCATTTGTGTATTTGCAATTCACAATTGCACACACATACAAATATACTACCCTGCTTTGTTTTGTGTACACTACACGGGGCTGAGAGAATTGAGCAGTGCTCTACAATGGTGCAAAAATATAATCCAACAGACTTGGTTACAAGCTTACAGGCAGCTAATTACTTCATCTTAGATAAAACTGGAGGAAGAAAAAGGTATTGGTAGAATTCCGAAACAAGGGCAAAATACAGATGATCCTCTAAAATAACTAAGTTGCACGGCAATTCGATGCACCAAGTTAACATCAAGCTAGCGTCTTCGCTTTGCGCGCCAACATCAAGATGAATTCAACTGTATATGAATCTGTGAAGACCTAATGGCAGTACCGCGCCAGTACGTAATGAAGTCTATATAGTTCAGATCAACACCCAATGGGGGCAAAGGCAATCCAATGAGTTGTAGAATATAACGAACAATTATATCCCAACATCAAGCAGACTTTCACTGAAGAATCTTACTAAAAATCACCTTTGCGGAAATATACCAAAAACTTTAGAGTAAATTTCAGAAAACTGCAACTATAGTGACAAAACTATCAGTTTGCTGCAACATTACTGATATATTTCAGTTTGCAGAAATAATAGCGTAGGAAATTATCTCAAAACTCCAACTTTTACATGATATACTGCTACGGTACACATAGGTAACAACTATAGCAGCATATCACGTAAAAGCTGTAGTTTTGTGATTATTTCCAACGCTATTATTGCAGCAAACTGATAGTTTTGTCACTATAGTTGCAGTTTTCTAAAATTTACTCAAAAATTTAAAAACAAAACAGAGCACAAGAAGTACAGTCACCAGAAGGAGCTGGTCCTGGATTAGCAGGAGGTGGCTTCGGGTGGAAGTATCTACATGAATCCCCAAACTTGCACGTCCCCTAAAAAAACACCAAAAAATGGGGTCAATTGCAGAAATGTTAGTCATCCTCGTTGAGTAGTAACAGATGTAATAAGATCGGCAGAATCGCAAGTACACACCGTACGGACGAAGTGTTGGCAGACGCCGATGGCGGCGGCGCCGGGCTGGTGGAGGAGGGGAGGAGCGCCGCCGCCGCCGCCGTGAAGCTCTGCGGGAGGGGGGAGAAGGGTCAGAAGGTGTCGGAGCGAGAAGAGCGAAGGGGAGGAGGAGGAGGAGGAGTGGGGGGGCAACCTTGGCGGCGGACGGCGTCGTACCAGAGGGCGCGGGCGCGGTGGTGCTGGGCGCCGTCGAGGTGGCGCTTGCGGGCGGCGGGGGTGTCCTGGAACTGCTTCTCGCAGTAGTCGCAGTAGTACTTGCCCAGCGGCATCTCCGATCCCCTTCCGCCGCCTCCCTTTTTTCCCCCTTCCGCGGCTTCTCTTCTCTCTCTCGACAACTCTTCTGAATTCTGATCTTCTCCCTCCAGCAGTTTCTGCTGTTGGGCGAAAAGAGACTGAAGAGTACAAAGTGTTCATGAACAACAGTACATTTGAATTTTACATTTCGATTATATTTTACATTATTCGACGGAAACTACGGAGTAGCAAAGGAACGCTAGATTTTAGAGAAGTTAATTTCTGCAAGAAACGGAACGCCTCCTTTTGGAACGAACGAAATTTCAAGCGAAATCTGTAGAAATCAATTAATTTTAGACGAATTCCGTAACTGAACTGAACTGATTCGTGCTAAAATCTTGTGAAATTTCTACGTCCAAAATGAGCCCCTACAACTTTCCAAGAGCAAGTAGTGTTAGCAGACTCCTAACAGCATTTAGATGACCTCTGCGGACGAACCAAACTTGCACACCTTGCAACGCAGCCAAACACCTGGACCAGCACAACTCGAACACAGGTAAAACTACCAAGGTCAGGTCATCGACGAACTTGTCCATACGTTCATATGCCAGAGCATCCTCATAGCTGAGGCTGGAGCAATAGCACCAAGGAGCAAACAAGTACAGTAGATAGAAGGTACTAGCAGCATTTTCAGAACAGTCTAAAAACCAGGTAGCAGTCTAGGGCACAAAGAACCAAGAAAATCGACGAGGAGGATCCCAACATATGGATCAACTACACCATAATAAATACATTCTTAAACTGCTCTAGAACATATTACAGATCATCAGCTATGGGAATTCTCAATTCTCAGGTGGGTGAGGGTTAGTAGGGGAGGGATGGTGTGGGTGCACCGGTTACATGTCAAAGTTTCGCCATCGCAACATACTGCTACTCAACTACACTGGTCAACAAGGTGGTCATACAACAACAACGTAACTTCACATCTTCACCAACCATCATGCACGCATATGCTGACGATCCATCGTCGTCCAGGGGGGAGGAAATGGGCACTTGTCATGGAAATTTCCAGGGGGGTCGTGCGGAAGCTGTCTCATACTCCTGCATAGGAGCATTGCTTCTTCACATGTTCTGGGATCAATTTCGCCATAATATCTGATGGGATTCCTTTCAGTTCTGCAAGAAACAAGAAAGGGGCAACGTAAGTAGCTGATCATATCAGAAAGTTATGACTTGCAGCTCCCAAATTGTAAGTTTACAACGGAAATAACCAGAACAATTGAAGTGCCTGCTTGAACAAACTTTAACTGGTAATATCAACAAGGATAAATGTGATCATGTTTCACAACTTACCATGAGGCTTGAAGTTGAAGAGAGGAGGCAAAAAGCGGCCATTCGGAAGGCGAGCATTAGGGTCTCGAAGCTCATCAAAGAATGGGTGAACAAGTGCTTCCACCTGGTCAAAGGTAACAGAAAATATTTATGAAATGAATGTCTGCACAATTATCTCAGGAACTAAGTGCCATAATACTAATTTATCTGTACTTCAACCATTAAATATATACTTACAGCAGTGCATCTTAGGTTGGGTGAGTACTGGAGCAGCCTAGAGACAAGATCAACAGCTTCTGGAGGCAACCTTTTATGGAATACCTAAATATTTTACATATATGGTTAATCACCTGATACTGGACGATTGCTGAAAGTATAACAACAGAAATAGATAGACTTTGCACCTTGTGCCATGGGTGTGCTTTAATCTGTGGAAACTTGAACTCGGTATAGTTTGGATTCATGCATTTAATTTCCTCCCTTGTAGGTGTTCCAAGGACCTGCGATGTGTGATCAGTTTTAATGTTACAAACTTCTGCACCTCCGAACAACTCGCAAGGCCAACTAAACACCAGAATTGGCACTAACCTTGATGATTTCCACAAGTTGGTCTACACCACTTTCACCAGGAAACAGAGGCTGTCGAACAGAAAACAATTGTAAGGCATACCGACTTCGACAATAGAGTCCAGGGTGGTAAACAACAAACTTCCCCAAAATGTGCAAAGAAAATCCAGCCGCTTACCTGCCCTAACATAAGTTCAGCAAGAACACATCCAGCAGACCAGATGTCAATAGCTGTAGTGTATTCGGTGGCACCAAATATGAGCTCCGGAGCCCTATAGTATCGGGAGCAAATGTACGATATGTTCGGTTCTCCCTTGACCTACAAATTAGTACATAGGGAGGATAAGACCAGACTGTAACTGCTTATAATATAACAAGTTGTGGATTTCTTAATTGTCTTACCAGAACTTTTGCACTCCCAAAGTCACATAGCTTGAGTTGATGGGTATGTGGGTTTACCTGATTAGAAGTTCAAACATCAATTATAAAGTTACAGAAATAAGAGGGTGGTATTTGAGATGAATGGGTAACAACATTCAAGCATACCAGAAGATTCTGTGGCTTGATATCTCTGTGGCAAACTCCGATGCTATTATGGATGTAAGCTAATGCCCTACAAATCTGTCAACAAATTTCAAACTAAATTCAAAGTCATCTCGGTATGCTACTGGCTAGTTTGTCTGAATATAGCCTGCTACACAACATAAGTCAAAAGAACAAAGTATCCAAAAAGGTACATAACAGAATATTACCTGGTACATATACAGCTTCACATAGATAAGTGGCATACGCTGGTTCATCTTGTTGTAATGCTTCACAACACGATGAACAGTTTCAGGCACATACTCAAGAACCAAGTTTAGATACAGTTCATCCTTCTCAGTTGTAGAGAAGAAACAGTGCTTCAGAGCTACAACATTTGGGTGGTCAAGAAGGCGCATGGTCTGAAGCTCACGGTTCTTGTAGCGCTTATCCTGAAGAACCTTCTTGATAGCAACTGTCTCACCTGTCTCCAGACATTTTGCCTGAAAATGGTCAAAATGATATCACTATTACAGACATGAAGAACATTTAGGACATCTTAACAAGAGAAGGTTATCGTGTATCAACAATTTGCTACATACAAAAAAAGTGGTGCTAGTAGAGTTAATGATGTTAAGTTAGCTACTTAGCTTCCTGGTGATTGGTGAAATATATGAAAACCCAAAGATGTTGCAACTAACCTGGAAGACAATCCCAAATGAACCTTGCCCTACAATACGCTCAGCCATGTAGCTAACTGTCTGCAAGATTATCCAAGAATATCAATTAGAAATGAAGATTGCTTTATAATCGATGAACAATTTCAGATCGCGACAGTCAGATGGCATTTGTTCTGAAATCACAACATGGTATCAGGAAATCACCTGTTTCGGCTGACCATTTCTGCCACCAGTAGTTGTGACAATTATGTGGCCGGTTTCTGTTCCCTTGCCGTTAATAATAGTCGCTTCAACTTCCTGGATTTACCATTCAGTTCGACATGTTACAACAAAGTCAAATTTACATGGCACATGGAAGAAATTAAACTTCTCATCATGATAGACTTACCTTATCGTCCCTTATCTTCAGATCATGCATCTGATCAGGCAACTTCTCAGCACCCATGCTGGTGCTACTGCTGTTCTTTAACCCAGACGGCGCAACCCCTACTGAACCCATCTCTTATAAAAAGCTAAACGATGGCGAATCAGCTTTGCATCAACACTCAACTCCGCAATGGATCTATCGGTCAACCTGCGAGATCGTCAATAACAAACATCAGTTAAAAAGTGGAACCACGCAGTTCACAAAGCACTGATTCACCATGCTAAGCAACTCAGTGCATCTAACACGCATCCACCATGAAACAATCATCAGGTGAAGAGCAAAGAGATGAACAGAGAGAAATGCACTCATCCAAGACTCATCCAGGAGGAGGAAAAGGAACAAGTATATAAGAATGCTTGGAGATTTACACTGAATGACTTGCACTAAAACACCATATTTTTAGCAAGAAAGCAACCATAAAAAATACTCTTTATGTCCAAAACCAGCTACAAAAAAGGCATTCTTTCATTGCCGTCGGCTCCAACACAAGCAACAGTTTGCTGCTATGCGCAAAAATGTTGTTCAGCTAAGCAACTTTCCCCCTCCAAAACCGCCTTCAATCAAGCCAAAATAGGGATCCCTGCACCCTGTTCACGTTTCTTGACGAACTCCTCCTGATTCAGGCTCTCTTCTGCATCTATTCTTGAGTTTGAACTCATCCGCATCTGCTATGAGGCAGGCGCGAGCATACGAGCCTCTAACGAAGGGGAAAGTGCAAACCAATAAAAAAAACTGAGCATTTGGGTACGAATCTATGGCGTAAATGATCTATCTTTACTCCAAGCCCCATCCGAAGCCAAGAACTTGCCCGATTTGCAGCAATAAATACCAGAAAATCCCTCGGAAATCCGTATAATTGCTCCACGTTGACTAATCGCCGACACAAATTAGAGACCCCCCAAAAAGAATCCACGCGCTTGGGAGGTTTGAACACAACCGCAACACACCGACGTCTCAAGAATCCCCGAAACCCCCGCAAAATCCACCGAAACCGCGAAGAAAACGTAGATCCCAGCAGACGGATCAGCCACCGCCCTCGCAGAACGGCGAACTCGCGTTGTAATCGCCTCAAACCACAAACAAGAAGAAGAAGAAGAAGAAGAAGAAGAAGAAGAAGAAGAAGAAGAAGAAGAAGAAGAAGCAAACCAAATCGAAGCAGCAAGAACGAACAAACCGCAACGCACCTCTCCTCCTCCAACGCCTCCTTCCTCCCTCCCTCCTCTCCACAGGGATGGATCTCCCGGCTGTCCCACCTCTTCTTCTCCCCTCTCTCTCGCTCGCTCGCTAGCCGCGGCCTCCTCCTCTTGCTTTTGCTTGTCGGGACGCAGCGCAATACTACATAAGCCGAAGGAAAAAAAAATCCTCTCTCTCTCTCTCCGAAACCGAAATGATTTCCGCCTGAGGGAGGGGAGGGGTGCAGTCAAAGCACCCACCACCACCACAGGACGCGGGGCCCACGCCCACAGACAGGTGGGGCCCACCTGCTGCCGCCTTGGGGTTTGGTTCGTGGCCACGCCTTTTGACCGGTCAAATCGCCCGGACCGGGGACTGCGTCGCGGTGCAGCCCCCGTCCGTGTCGCTGTCGAGTGGGGCCCATACTCCGCGATGGCCCACGCGTCAGTGGGGGTGTGGGAGAAGGGTCATTATTGTTGGTGTTGGTGTGCGTGACTTGTTTGTTTTTTTTTTACCGCATCAAAGGACGCAAGATTCGAATAAAGGTGTGGGGGGAGAATGACGAATCTGCCCCTGGTTGGGGTTGGGTCGGGGTTAGATCTGATCTGGGGTTTGAGTTTTGAACTCGAGGCGTGTGCACAGGAGGAACGGTCACCGGCGGCAGGGGAGGAGGAAGGGGAGGACCAGCGTCTGCGGGGGTGGGCTGATGCTTGCGGCGCAGGTGGTGGTGGTGGAGGTGGGATGGGTCAGGGCAGATGCGGGTGAAAATTCCAGGACCATGGGTAGTAG